GTTTACTCTTATAGTACGTTTTAATTTTCATTTTTTGCAAAAAAGGAAGGATTCGTTCAAGGCTTTTCATCATATAACTTGTTCGAAGGGTCATTAAAAATAAAAAAACCACGGGGTGCTATTAAATTAGAGGGTTAAAATTGAAGATAGGGGTGAAAATGCACTTTTGCAGTTTTTTAAATATAGCACGAAAACGAAGTAAAATTTCGGTATAGTTCATAGGAAAAATTTTGTAGAGAATTGAATTTCCCAAATGGCTCTTTAAAAAATTTAAAAGATTTATGCAAAAAATCGTTAATAAACAATTTTAAAAAAGCAAAAAATATGATTTTTTAATTTTGTTTTTACATTTTGGACGAAAATCTAAAAAATATTCAAGTTTGACCGGTTATAACTCAGTGAATATTAGTCTAAAAACTTTTGAAAACGCATCTCATCTAGTTTTTTGTACAGCAATTTTCTTTGCCTACTTCTACTAAAAGAAATAGTCAAAAAAAGTAAAAAAAATCATAAAATCTTATTCTTTCCTTTTTTAAAAATTGTTTATTAACGATTTTATGCATAAAATTTTTCTTTTAAATTTTTTAAATGAGCTATTTCGATGGGAAATTCATTTCTCTACAAAATTTTTCCTATGAACTATACCGAAATTTTGCTTCGTTTTCGAGCTATAATTAAAAAACTGAAAGGGGTGCATTTTCACACTTATCTCCAAATTCCACCCTCTAATTTAATAGCACTCCGAGGTTTTTTAATCTAAAATGACACTTTGATATAATCAGTAGCCTATACCGCCTGGACTAAGATTTAGATGACTATAATAGTCGTGTTGCAAGCGTATGTATACGGGGAAGATTAATTAAAGTTTGTCATTAGATTTTTTGAAAATTTTATAGTGATTTTTTCAAGTTAACATTAAAAACTAATACGATTATTACTTTTTCAGGAAGTATACAATTACTAAATAGTGAATTTATTATTAATAACATTGCATGGCTTTCAGACAAGCAAGTATATTTATTGGTCTTACAATTAACGATATAGAATTTGACACAGACTATTTTTTTTCTAAATAAAAGTTCTCTTGGATAGTTCCGCAAAAAAAAACAACTCGGCGATTTTTTGAGCGAAATATCAGACCCTTTCTTAGATCGGTTAATGCTGAAGACGGTCGCGAAATGTCGAAACGTCGTAACGGAAGAGCATAAAAATACAGTTTTTTTAACTTTGACGAGATAAATACAAAAAAATGGACAATTTTATTGGGCTTTCAGCAAATTCACGATGTATTTGCTTCTAAACTCACCTAGTTATAACAAAACTGACTGCAATTGTCGAGCTTCTATGGCAAACGCCTTACAACGCCGTATATTTACTTCAATATCACGTTCTGTTATAGAATTCAGTTACCTGTGTCGCGCATAGGTAATATCAAATTAACACCGTTTTAAAATATTTAAATAGAGACTAGAACACTGCATTCCTTCGACGCAAATCACATTTTTTGTGGCACGGGAGCTACCGATCACATATAAAGACAAAACGTGTGTTTACGTTTTTTTGGAACAAAAGTCCGCCTGTCCCAACATTCAAAACAGTGTCAAAATTTAAAATCAACCGGAAAAAAAACCCTTTTAAATCGCCAAGAAAGCATCCGTGGAAACCCATCCTCCACTTTCTTTTTTTTTTTCGTTCACATGCCGAGAGAACAATGTCGGACGCCAAACGACTTTCTCGTCCCGATTAATAAATAACAGCAATGCGATTCGCTCCGGTTTGCTGCGTCGTAAAAGTAACGGGGAGATAAAATTAATATAATAAGTAAGACAGGTTTCTAATACCGACGGATATATACGGTGATTCAGACGGCGGTCAATGGGGAACGAAAATAAAGATTACGTAACGAGGAAACAATACGGCGTCCGAAGGAGACCCGGAGAATTTAAATCAATGTCTGTTTTTGGACGGTGGGAGGTGGCGTATTAGTCGAAATTCGATCGTAATCTACGGCTTAAGAGATCAAAGTTGGCACGGTATTGAAAATTAATTATATACAGGGCGTTTTCTTGATCTGTAAATGCTAAATCGCTAAGTATTGTACTGTAAACACTGAAACGTAATTCTGTATGTATATATGTTGTTTAGCCTCTTATTTAGGAAAATATGGTGGTGGAAATAAAAACGAATATATATATATATATATACAAATAACAATTGAATGTTGTACTTCTAAGTTATAAACCAAACTTTTAATTTTTTTTAATGCAACATCCTGAATGTTTGCCGTTTTTCGATTCCTTTCTCTTTTTATTACAATGATATACATTATATAAAAATTTTAGTCATTTTTAGTGACTGTAGTTAGTAATGACTAATTACAGTCATTAAAATATTGATATAAAGTTAATTAGAGTTTAAAATATTTTAAATATGCCTTGTTTATGAGACATCCATCAATAAGTTCTGACATAAGCCTAATTTTAGAAAAGCCACTTAATCTAAACTTACACCGTAATATTGTAAGAGTTTAATTAAAAGCCTTTTTTCTCGAAAACCGTCCACATTAGGAAGTTCTAACAAGAGTACATTATTTTTAGAAAATAAAATTGTACATTAGAAATTGGAGCCCGAATGGTAAAAAACCTAACCTTAAAAAAATTAGAACTTAAAATATCTCTATGAAATATCCAAAAAATAATTAGACCAGCGTATTTGGCATCATTAAAAACCCCGGAATACCAAATTTTATAAAAATATTTCGCACCGTTTGGAAATTTTCGTAAATGTTCTATTTAAAACATTTTATTTTGTCGTTCTGTATCTAGAAAACAAGAGGAGATAAGACATATAGTTATATAAGGCAAAAAATTACTATGTTTGTCGTACTATCACCTCCTGTATATTTGATTTGATAGTTTGAATGATATTCTGACTTAATTACCGTCTCATTTTCCATGGCAATCTCGACTATGTACAGTAAGTAAACCAAAATATTGCGCAAATTATCAACTCAAATATATGTCACGTATATATCTTTGCAATCGGAAAGAAGGAGAGGAATCGGAAAATTGAAAATCATACAGGGTGTTGCATTGAAAAAAAAGACAAAAGTTTGGTTTATATTTTTGAAATGCAACAGTCAATTGTTTTTTTATATATGTATTGTTTTAAAATCGCAGTAAAATTTCCTAAAATTTTCAACTTTAAAATTTTTTTCTAGATAGAAAGTTAAAAAAAGGGGGTAGAATTTGAATTACCACGAATGAATATAGAATTTAATTTGAAAAAAATTAAGATTCAAGTCGAACCAGTGGCGTAGATATGAGACGTGCTGATTACCTTTTCCTCAAAAATTGTGTTACGACAGTGGAAGAGAAATATTTTTTTGTCATTTTTTTAAATGCGAATTTTATTTTTCTGACTTTCTTAGCTAGTTTTCACATTTTTGGCAGAAATTTGTAAAAATTATACGTTTAAATAAATGTAGAATTATACAGGGTGAGTTAAAAACGAAGAAGCGCTTTTCTCGTTCAAATTTAAGAATTTTTCTTGTAAAAAAAAATAAATTCTTAATAAAACTGATTCATTTTTTTTACTTAATGTTTTTGTGAATAGTCCAATTAAATGGACCTTTATATCGCAATTTTTTTTCAACAGGTATATACTTAATAATAATAAGTGATAGTTTTTTTTAACCCTCAGCCAGGGGTGAAAAAGATAAAGTAAAGGTTTTTTTTTTCAAGATGACACAAATGGGGTAAGAGCTAGGAAAAAAGTTTCTTATAAAAGTTGTAGAGCATAAAATTCTACATAAAAATGGTTTATTGACTTTTTCTTGTACTATTAAAATTAATAGAGTTGGGGTGGCTAGAAATTAAGAGACGAATTCAGAAATTTAAAAAAATCGTAACAAGCAGAAAAATTAATGAATTTTATATATTTTCTTTTCAATCTACTCTAAAAAATGTAAACTTTTGTTTTTTAGAGAAATAGATATTTTTTAATTTGTAATAAAAAAGTTACAATTTCAATTTTTTTATCGTTAATTTTTACGATTCAAAAAACAATTTTTTTTTGCCATTCGATAGATTATTTTAAATAATGAAAAATTGTTTTCGAAATTTTGTTTTACCACAAAGAAACAAATTACGTTCGCTTTGTGAAATTGTTATAACTTTTTTATTAAAAATTAAAAAATATTCTCTGAATAGATAGTTTAGATACATTTTTTAGGGTAGATCGAAAAAAAATATAAAATTCATTTATTTTTCTGCTTGTTATGATTTTTTTAAATTTCTGAAATCATCCCTCAACTCCTAGTCACCCTAACTTTGTTAATTTTAATAGCACAAGAAAAAGTCAATATACCATTTTTATGTAGAATTTTATGCTCTACAATTTTATAAGAAAATTTTTTTTCTAGCTCCTACCCCTTTTGAGTTGAAAAACCCCTTTATTTTTTTCACCCCTAGGCGAGGGTTGAAAAAAAAATTACTGTCACCTATTGTTATTATATAACTCAAACCAAGGGCGTTACCAGGGGGGGGGTGGCAAGGGGGACAGCTAGAAATTCGAAAACAGTACAAACATATTCTTAAGAAAATATTAGATTGGAAATTTTTAATAAAACATTTTATTTACTTAAACCTTATTTTGAAAATTAATACACTAGGTAATTTAAAATTTTTTTTAAAACAAATGGAATTACATGGTATAAATATTTGTTGATCAAAGAATTTAAAAATATAATAAAATTTTATGTCAAAAAGTAATACATTTCCATATTTTAAAGATTTAGCTCTGGAATTTTAAATAAAAAAAATATCGGAATCAGAATAAAATTATATATAGCGGGAATGAAAAACGTTTTTAATTTAATTTTTAAGGTTTCGTTGAATTTCTTTATTTTTTTAGTTATTTATATTTTTTTATGTTTTTCTTGTATTAAAATGGTTTTATTAAAAATATTTTAAAAAAAATTAAGTCACTATACTTATAATTTATATTTCTCCCATCCTCTCTTTTATCTTGCCTCCCCTAGCCCCTTGGCTGGTGACACCCTTGCCTCAAAATAACTTATATAAAAAAATCAGGCAAGTTGACCAAAATTGCGATTTAAAGGCATTAGAAAATACGTGATAAAAATTGAATCAGTATCGAAGACATTTTTCTAGAAAACATCATATTATTAATATTTTCAAGTATACGAGTGTTATATTTGCAGACGAGTTTTCGCCTCACTTTCGAACCTCGTTATCAAGTAACGAATATTTTAAAATCCCCCAAGTTTACCTCAAATATAACCGCGCTTGTGACTGCAATAAAATTCCTGCACAATTATCGGCAGCCATAATGAGCTGCTGTGTAATTAAAATCGTTTTTTTTCCCTAACAATTTCTGAAGGTAATTTAGCTATAACGAGCGAAACGCGTAACACCGCAATAAAGCGCCGATAAGGAGTTAACAATTTAAAAACTTGTGCACGCGAAAGATACGGTTTTATAACTTTTTTTTTTAACCTACTAAATCCTCCGCAACGCCAGCAGAATACATTCATTTTGCCCCAAGTAAAATACCCACCACCGCAAATACAAATATAACACTCACCACTAGGGACGTTCTGCTGCTGAGACCTCCTACCGCGCCTCTGGTGGCTGGGCTGAAGTCCGGGGGCCGAGACCGCCCTTTTGGGCACCGTCGTGGTGAGCCTGCTGAACCCGGGAGGCCGGTACCGCGCACTCTTAACATTCTGCGGCAGGAAGTGGTACATACTCTGCGACTTCTGCATGTTAGTCGGGGGGGTGTTAGTTGGAAGCCTGGGAAGCGAGTTGGTGGTAGGCGCGCCGCTCTGTAAACTCCTCGGCAGGGTGGAACGACTCTCGATCTCTTCGTCTTCGTCTTCGCCGTCCGCCGAGCCCCCCGAGCCGCAGGAGGCGTCTGGGACGCTGGACCGCCTCCTGTTCGGCCTGGTGGCCGATGCCACCCACAACTTATCCTCACTGTTCGCGCCACCTATACTACCGCAACTACGCACTCTGTCCAATTGTTCGCGGCTCAGACTCTTGTGGCTGAAGAGCAGGTCGCCCGCCGACCTGCGTTTGGCCGCTATGGCCAAGGCCGATGCCGAAGCTGAACCTTCGCCCCCTAGCAGCGACAGCTTGTTGCGAGAGTCGGACGCCAGGAGGGCGGATTCGAAGCTGCCGCGCCAGCTGAACCGTTCACAGTCACTAGCCTCCCTTTCTTCTGTCACATCGGACACTCCGCCACTGGACTGGTTCAGAGTCCTCGTTTCACCTACTAACAAGTCGTGAGATCTACTTCTTGGTAACAAAGTGTAAGGCGTCATCTTCTCCTCGAAGCCGCCGAAGGTGTCATTGCAGTCGTCCTCGGTCGTGGTGCTCGAAGCTGACGAGATCTTGTGCTGCAACCTCCTGTGGTAATGCTTCGCCTTGGGGCTGTTGCTCTTGTGGCTCTCCCCGCTCGACACTTCGTGCATTAAGGCCACCAGGCGGCTCCCGATGTGGTGCATGACCTTCGCGATCAACGGCGGCGAGCTGTGGGGTGTGCCGACGGGAACGGCGGTCTCTTCGTTGTCTCCGGTGGCCATCTTCTCGAAGGAGGCCACCAGCTTTTGGTACACGAAAGCAGTCTCTTTGTTTAGGCCGTGGGACTCGTCTACGATGCCTCCGTCGCCTTCGTCGCCTTCATCGTCAACGCTCGTGTCGAACTTGTTGATTATCTGCTTGCAGCTGTCGGAGATCTGCTGCTGCAGGGCGGATTTGGTGGAGGCCCCTTCCAAGTCCGAGCTGGTGTAGTCCGAGGAGTCGTAGGAATCGCTCCAGGTGTCTTCGCTGCTGAGATATTCCACGATTTCCCGGACTTGGTCGTCTCTTATTCCAGGCACGGTTTTCATCAATCTGGTCAGTTCGTTCTCGAAATACACCAGTTGAGGCGGTTTGCATCGGTTCTTCGCTCTGGGACTCGGCAGTGGTTTGGGGGACATCCTGGAGCTTAAGGTGGGGGTTGTGGGTTTGGAAGACGCGCTGCACTGCGAATTGGCCACCATGGTCTTGAAGAACTGCCTCATCTTGCACATCATCAAGTTGGTTTCTTCGTCAGAGCTCCAGTTGTTGAAGCTGTCTTTCCTCGTTAGCGACGTCGCTGGAGGCGTGGAAAGTGAGGTTATTTTATCGTCTACTTTCTTTTCTTCTATTATATTTTCTAGGTCCGATTTCAGTTCTATTTTATTCAAGGGTAGTTCTGGGGTGTTGTTTTCTCGTTGTTCTTTAATTAGATCATCACAGCTGCCTATAAAACCGCTATCTCTGCTCTGTTGGTTTTTACTCGTTGTTAAGTTGGAAGACACTGGTAAGATTTCCGGTTGTGGGGTTTTATGACCGTCTTCTTCGTCGCTTTGCTCTTCCTTCTCATCGACCTCCTGCGTGGTTTCTAAACCTTTTCCTTCCTCCGCTGGGGACGCGGAATTTTTCTGCTTCTTGCCTTTCTTGCGTTTCACAGTATCGAACTGTCCGTCGCACTTTTCGAAGCTGTTGACTTCATCGTAAGTATCGGAGTCTGAACTCGAGGAATCTTCAGAATTGTTTTGAGTTTCAGCTGCCTGGTCGTTACCAGCGTTGTCCAAATTGTCCAAGGAAGACGAGTGAGATCTGCCAGTGCCCCTGGCTCTCACCAACCTCTTCCTCCTCTGTTCGGGACTCGGTCTACCTTCGCTATCGCTACCAACGCTACCATCCGAGTCTCTTCTCTCAGCCGTGAATCCCATGAAACCGCTGAGGAAGTATTTTTCTAACCTAGAGGAGGCAAGTTCTGCGGGATCCGAGTTGTCGTTCTGCTGCTGAGCTTCTTCAGGGCCGCCGAGCGATTCCATGCCCTCGCTGTATATGCTGCTGGTTTCAGAGAAAGCGTCCTCCCTGTTGGAGTTGATAGAGGCGATGGTACCATCTCCGAGACCGAAAAAGAAGTACTTCTCCAGATCGGTCGCGGAGGCGGGTCTCTCTTTCTTCTTCGGGGCATTCTGCTCGACCTCGCTCTCCTCACAACTCTCCTCGACGATGGTGTGGAGGGTGAAGTCTATGGCCGACCTGTGGTATCCGCGGAGCTCGTCCTCTTGGTCGATAGCCGCGGAACACGTCAAAGTAACCTCCTCGCCGGAAGAGGAGTCGTCCGTCGGGGAATTCGTAGCGAATTCGTCGTCGTCGTCCCCGTGGCTTAAGTTCTCTACCCAAGAGTCGTCATCCGCCAGGCCTTCCTCGAAGGCGGACAACGTGTCGCCCCCAGTTATCACAGTCACGCTGCCGCCCAGCTGGTTCTGGTTATCTGCAAAGGAAAATTTGTCCCTGGTTTAAGGAAATGTAATAGGATAGGCTCGGTGAACGTCTAGGGACTCTGTAATATCGTTAAAAAAAAAATCTGAGTCTATCACATGATCGCGAAACAGCTCCGTTACATCAAGATTTTTTGATACTCCAAACATAAAAATACAGGAAAATCTCTCCTTTAATTTCCGTGATTGTCTCGATGTGGCCATTTTTCTCCAAGATGTCACTAATTAAAATTCAGTCGATTTCAATACGTAATTAATTATTTTCAGGTAATTGCTGAAACATATGCAAAGCTTTTTAATTGATGTATTCATTTAATTTAAAAAAATACATGTTTTAGCATAAAAGGCGATTTTCAACCGTCATTTGTTTTCGAATAATGACGTCATCGACATTTTTTTTTTAAATAGCAACCCCCCTATTTTAATTCAACAATAATTTTTATATCGCTTACAATATTTAGAAAGTCGGTATGACAGTGACATTTTGTAAAGTTTTACACCTACGTGATCCATAAAAAACTTCAGGCATTTCGAAAAACTAAATTTGATAACGTTTTTGCTTTATTTTAATTGATTTGGGTTTTCTAACATTCAATCGTCATTTACTCGAAAACTTTCCTATGTACGATGGCAACATTTTAATACTGTCGGATCGACAATGAAACGATCTTTCAGAATCAAGAAAAAAAATAGGGGGTTGCTATTTAAAAAAAATGTCGATGACGTCATTACTCGAAAACAAATGACGGTTGAAAATCGCCTTTTATGCGAAAATATGTATTTTTTAAATTAAAAATCGACCTGTTCGAGGATTTTTCCCAATAAAAAATTTGTTTCGTTTTTACTGAATTTATTCCATACTTTAGGCGCGTACTGTATTTCTCGCGATTTTAAGGGCTTGATTAACATGAGCCCTGTCATATAATAAATTGGACGTTTGATTAAAGTGAGCAGCCAGGATTTTGGAGCTGGCACCAACTTAATGTTTTATTTATAATATCCTGGAGAAAAAATGTATTGGAACAAACCAAAATGGAAATTGAAGAGGAAGAGAAGACAAAAATATTTGTAGGAGTGCCAAAATAGCTTATATAATTATTTTAATATCTAAAAATTCTGACGTATGTGGAGTATTTTTACGAACTTTCGGATTCAGGCCAAAAAATGTCAATGGACTGAAATTCATTGTAAAAATTTCCAACAGGAGACACGTTTGTGTTATTTCCAATACTTGGTACATTAATTCACCGATACTGTTGGTTGGTTTATAGTGTTTTGCACTTGGTAAAAAATATCTAATTAATAAACGGGAAATCTAACAAGCTATTTACCAAGTCCGAAGTTGTTGATGGGAATATTTAATAAGTATAACGTACAAGGACGCTGAATTTTACAATTTACAGTTCCTAGAAATTGTTTATTAAAAATCAAACAAAGAAAGCCGTGTGTCCGCTGGGAAAGTGAGCCTTTTAGGTTAATTAGCGGCTACGTTTACATTTTCTTGTGCAATTGCTTTCTAAATCAAACGTGAACAAACGCCGGCACTAAACTGATTAAGGAGATATTTTAAAATCAAGTACTGTGCAGAAAAACAAACAACAACTCCGTGTAAATCCGATTTAAAATTGCGTTACTTCTCGGCAGCGAGAGAGAGAGAGAAAGGCGAATTTCTCCAGACTTAGGCAACGCCTTCCGCAAGAGTCCCTGTAGACGTTTCCCGGCCGCGTGGCGTTTAACTCCGGGCGCCAACAAAACTAATGTCAAGGTTCGGCCACCGCCGAAAGCGACTCACCGTTGCACTTCCCCTCGTTCCTGACCTCGTCCTGCCAATTGGTGTGCCGCACCACTACGTCGTTGTCGTCGTCGGCCACGAGGGTAGTCGTGTCCGACGTCACCACACTCACTTGTTGATAATTAGGGGCGGGCTCCTGGGTGATCATGACGAGGCTGGTATAGCGCGCCGCATTGCGTGACAGACAGACCTCCGGATCGCCGAGCACTGGCCCACCTGCCCGCACACCGTCGCTCCGCGTGCTCGCGGCGACCTCCTCCCCCTCCACGCCGGACCGGATCTCCGAGGAGGTGTTCCGCACGTCGGTTCCTGCGGACGCCTCGTCCGAGGAGCCCCGGACCGGCTCCACGTCGCTGGAGTTCAGCGACTCCGCGCTCACGTCCGACAGGCCCGGGCTGGACGACATGGACGCGATTCCCTTGACGTTCGCGTCGGGATCGGGCGTCGTTTCTTTGTTTCCCAGCACTTTGCTCAGTTCTTCGCGTAAATCTTTCTCGCCGATTCGGTTATCACAGTTCGGATTGTTGTTTGCGTCGGGCTTATCGGTGTTATCGCCCGTTATCTTATCGTCGACGCTCTCGAGAGGCGCCTCGGTGTCCAGGTGCTTCACGTTCGTGAGGATCACTGTACAGTCCATCTCGGTGTCGGTGTCGTTGTCGGAACTGTCACTGTCGCTGCTGGTGGAGGCGTTAGAGGAGGAAGACACGTTCTTGTTCACTACGAAGATCCTGGAGAACCGTTTGGGTTTCTGATCGGCCACGGTGCCGGTATCGTCGCTGTCGGTATCGGCGGAGCCGGAGGAAGACATGTCGTCTTCCCTGACGGAGCTGTGGGACACTCTCCCGTCTTCCTCATCACAGCTGGTGACGTTGCTGCTCGGCAAAGCGTCGTCGCTTTGTCTCCCGTCGCCGCCGTTGACGTTGTAGACGCGTCTGACGCGGGGTTTTCTGTTCCCGCTCGTATCGCTGGAATCACTACTGTCCCCCGAGGAGTCACTAGAAGACACGTCGCGGTTCTCGCACTCCAAGTACCCGGTCAACTCTTCTTCCGCGGGTTCTAAGACCGACTTCGAAGCGGTTTCGTCCGCCAGTTTGTCTTCCGCTGGTTCGTCTGGCTTTATGGCGTTACTCGCCTCGGCAGACTGGCCGGCGGAGTCGCGGTTCGCCGCGGTCGGCATTTCGACCGCGATGTTCACCCCACGCGAGTCGCTGTTGTTGTGCGGCTCACCTGGTGGATTTATCAGCGGCCAGATAAGGGCCGCCTGGCTCACGTACGGCCAGAGGCCGCGCGGCAGGCTCCTGAGCCGGGACGCGGCCCCGGCGTCGTGGGGAGCGGCCCAGACGGGGAACGGGATGGGCACCGGCACCGGGATGGGGATGTACTGGGTGGAGGCGGCGCCGCAGCTGTGGCAGCACGGTTTCCTCGGGGCGTCGGCGGAATTGGTGGTCGAGTGGACGCACTCGACGGCCTTGCTGTCATTGTCGTCGCGCGCCTGGTGGAAGAGGCTGTCCGAGGAGGCGGGCGAGTCCAGCTGGACGTTGTCCTCGTCGGTGCCGGTGTCGGACTCGCGGGTGCGGCGGTACACGATGGGGGAGCCTATGGGGGAGTCGACCACGCCGCGCCGGTATACCCTCGGCGAGCTGGGAAGAGAAGGGTTTATGCGGTGTGGGCTTCTGAGAGGGTTATTTTTTACTCGTGTTTCCAAATAAAGCATATTTAAAATCAACGACATCAGGAAGAAAACAGTATTTAAGAAACAAATATTTTTGAAACAGAAAATACAAATTATCAAAATTATTGTAAATATAATAGAACAAATGCATGAGTGACATTAAACATTAATTTGTAACCTTTCTTACAACAACTGAAAAAAGTTCTTAAGCTTCTACGTCGATTTTTTATAAATTTTAGTAAAATCATAAACACATTTTTTTAAACATGTATAGAACAAAAAATAAAACAATATATTTCAAAAGAAAAGAAAATGAATAAGAAATTGCCGATTTTGTCTTAAAAATAATAAAGTCCGAAAATTAATTGGTTTAATTGGTTTTCTAGAAACAAATTGTTATTTTTGTTATACTTATACAATATCACATATATGCAATTATTTTGAAAAAATAGTCGATCAGTAAAATTCAGCTAATTTAAAAATAAAAATGCACTGATTTTAATACCCAGTTGAATAAATTAAAAATAATTATAAAATTGCATGTTTTACAAAAAAAAATATTTAGCAATTTTTTACTTCAAATATAACTTCTATTATTAATGTTTTTTACTTACGCATTTTTCATATTAGCTTTTATAATTTTATTTTTATTATGCAAAGTTCAAACCAAGTCTAAAAATTTTCCAAAAATCCTTATGTGACATGAGTCATATATGCTCTTTCATGCCAATATCCAGGTGCGCTATTAATTAATAATTACTGATACTGTAAGAAACAACTACGCTGCGGACTATAACCCCATCCAGAATTTAATAATACTCGAAATATCTTACATTATCACCCAAATTAATTAACAATTAAGAATAGTTTTCAGGCTTTTGCGCCCCCCACAGAGTCAAGTCCGAGAACAACAATGGGCAGATTAAATATTTCCGGCTAGGGCTAAGGAAGTGCAATGCAACAATGTTGCACAACAACCCAAGTAACCACTTTAATTAATTAACAATTATCCAAAAATTTGAAAATCTATTCAAATATAATAAAATTAATACAGATTTAATATGGAGTTATTTTCTACTATTTTAGGCTTAATTTATATCAGCTTAATTCGTTTTAAAATAAAATAAGTGCAATTTTAAATTAAATAATGTAGTTATAAATTAAACGAAACAATTAGCGTAGAAATCTTGAATTTTCCGAAGAACAACATCAATTTAAATTGCATTTGCAACAAAAAAATTTCTGTTACAATTTTTTTTTTCAATTTTTACATAGTGAGATATTTCAAAAACACCCTGTATCTGAAATATTAAGCTCCTTAGCTTTAATTTTAATTAAAATGCTCTAATGGACCATCTTTATTACCGGAACATATTTAATTAACCATCTTGTCTAAAATTCTATTAATATTTATTTATTTTTATCTTATCTTTGCATTTATTAATATTAATATTTATTATGTATATTATTTAAATTCATAAAAACAAGTCACGCGCATAGACGGAAATCACGATTGGACCAAAACCCCAATTTGGTTCTCAATTTATTTGCAATCCTCGAGTATATTCTATGGTTCATTTAAAAAACACTAACAAAAAACCTTCTTACTGAATGTTTTTTAATTCAATATTTGTTTTTTTTAATTCCACTGTTTTAATTTTTAAACCGCGTTCTTACAGATATACTTTTTTCTGGAAAACACAAGTAAAAAAAAACAAATAAAAAATACTTTGTACTTACTTTAGGGTGGCCCAAAAAAAAACGATTATTTTTTTGTTCGTGTCTCTTGTGAAAATATATTAGTTTATCATGTTTTAAGAGACCCCTCAAGAAATCAGTTAAAAAAAAATTATTTTAGAGGTCGCTCAAGATTTTTAAAAATTTAAATTTTTTTTCTTATTTTATCATTTTCTATTTCCTAATTTTTAAAATTTTTTTTCTTGTTATTTTATCATTTTCTACTTTGAACAAAATCTCGATTCTCGATTTCAAATCGATATTTTAATTTCTAAAGGTCACTCATAATTATTTTAACTTTAAAATGTTTTCGAGCGACCTATAAAAATAAATATAAACGAACTAATAATTTTTTTTATTGCATTTGACGAACAAAAGAATAGAAATAAATCACGAGCACTTAAAAAATTTCTAGAGCAAAATTTACTACCGCACTGCGAGTATCAAATATTTATAATTTTAAAATTTTTGACCTTTAGAAATTAAAATATCGATTTGAAATGTTCAAAATCCAGATTTTTTTTTCAACCTAGAAAATGATAAAATAACGAGAAAAAAAATTAAAAAAAATTCAATTTTTGACGATTTTGGAAATTTTTAAAAATCTCGAGCGACCCCTAAATTTTTTTTTTTTATTTTTTGAGCAGGATCTTAAAACATGATAAACTAACATATTTTCTCAAGAGACGAAAAAAAATTATCGTTTTTTTTGGGCCACCCTAATGTACTTATACAGTCATAATGTCATTAATTTTAACCACGCATTCGGAAGGCCTAATAATAACAGAAAATCGAAAATTTGAAAAAAAATTTCTCGTCCTTTGGAGTACACAGCGATCGTACGTTGTAGCGAAACAGCTGATTTCCTAGTCGTCCAGTTTCGCGATTGCTTTCAAAATCAAGGTGCGTCAACGAATGTCAACTTTATTAAGATTATGGACAAATGAGTGTGTTTTTTAGCCGTATTTGTCATTTTGAATAAGTACAATACAACTCTGAAAAGTAATGACACACAATAAGGCATACGTACTACAAACAGAATAATTAACCTACTTGAACATATATGATACTAAAAACTCATATTCAGCGATATCAAAATATTTTTTTTCTGCGTAAATATGCGTTTAAAATTTTTTTAATCGCGTATTCATATTTTACTAATTTTTCCTTATCTTCCCTTAAAATTATGACATTATGACTGGATCGCCCTGTATAGAAGTGCATAGGGAACGAGAAATACGACCCAACCAAAAGAAGTCACCCTGCAAGAAACAGTTTTGTAAAAAAAAATGCAAGGGCTCCAAATTATCGAATTTATTGTTCGCGGTGACTGCCAAAATTATTGTACCTGATTTTATCTTTTAGATTTATTTTTTGAATCTAAATTTTGAAAATAGACAATGAATGCTTAAAGATATGTGTGTCCGGCTTCTTTTGGTTGGGACACCCAGTACAATTAAAGTTAAAAAATCTGAAAATCCTTATCATTTAAAAAACTATAATAAAAGCTGTTGTTTTAAGTGTTTAGAACAAAACTTCTTAATAAACGATTGTTTTTTGACATACAGGGCGTTGAAATGAAAAACCCCCAATACCCCTGAAGATGCCTGGCGCAGATTAACGAAACCTCGACAATTTTTTTAAATTTCAACACCCTACGTCTGGAAAACCAACCGCCTTAGTCATTCACTCATTAAAACACTTTGGCGAAAATTTTCGCTCCCCTTTCCAAAGCCCAACAAAACCGCCCCCCTCCACCACGAGGTACCTACCCGAACGGCGACGTCCAGTTGATGACGGGCCTCGCCCCCGACCCTGGCTCGAAATAATCCCAATCGCACTCGTCGATGGGGAAGCTGGACGCCGTCGACGACGAGTCATTGTCGTCCACGTCCTCCTCCTTGGAGGAGCTGTCGGAGCTGATGAACACCAGCTTGTAGTCGTCGCCCTCGGGCAAAAGGATATCCAGAAGGTCCGCGTCAGGACCTCTCCGCCAACCTGGTCGCGAACACACACACTCTGAGTGACCGGTTAGAGGACTACTGACGGAGAACCACCACCTCCGAAGAAGCCGCCCACGGCCGAAGGGGCGTCCATTATGGGCATATGCAGATGGCCGGTACGAACACCTCCGGGGACTGCCCATGCAGGGAATTCGAGCGCCACCTCCACAGTCGCGAATTCGACTTACGGGGTGGCCCAATAACGGATCGAGTGCGGTAGTGAGCGACTGACCTTTAACGAGACTATTCTCGGCGTGTGTAGACCGCGATCCCAGAAAATTGGGTGCAAAGAGGTTCCTTATTCATTCTACAGGGTGTTGCGATATTCCTCTAACTAAATTGTAAATAAATAAATAAATAAATAACATTCTGTCAAAAAGTTTTCTCAGTACCTACTAGATAGAGTGTTCTGGAAAAAGAGCCATAAATTCAGGGAATGACAGAACATCACAAAAAAAATATTATTTCCAATGGATCATTGATCTATTGTCTTTTGTTTTGGAGATATATAGTATCAATGATGTTTTGTAATCAAATTTTAACTGTAGGTATCGTGAAAAACAGTATAATGCAAAAGAATGTGACAGGTGTAAAGTTTTTAAGAGTACAAATATGTCAGCTATCGATTTTTAACTGTCTTTCCAATTGACATTTCGTAGGCTGATCGCACAGCGCCACAAAAAGAAGTGGGCTAGGTCGTGGACTATCAATCCCAAGAATTTTGACCTGCTGAATTTAAATCTCAAGGCAGAATTTGCCCATATTTTGACCTTAAAATCAAGAAACTCCGTTAAAAAGTAATTTTCGAGATTTCAAACCGACTTTAGTGGTCAGTTATTGCCCGATTAAAAGTTTAATAAATGTCATAAATAAAATTAAATTAATTTTTTTTTTTTCGTGTCTCTTGTGAACATATGTTAATTTATCATGTTTTAAGTCTCTTAAAAAAATCTGCTCAAAAAAAAAGTTTTTAGAGGTCACTCAAGAATTTTAAGAATTTCCAAAAATCGTCAAAAATTGAATTTTTCATTTTTTTTTCTCGTTATTTTATAATTTTCTAAGTTGAAACAAAATCTCGATTCTGAAAATTTTAAATCAATATTTTGGTTTCTAAAAGTAAAATTATTTTAACTTTCAAAGTAGTGTACCTATATTTTCGAGCGACCTCTAAAAATAAATATCAACGAACTAATATATATTTTTTTTATTGAATTTGATGAATAAAAGAATAGAAATAAATCATGACACTTAAATTTTAAAAAATTAAAAAATTATAAATATTTGATACTCAGTCTGGTAGTAAATTTGCCTCGGAAAATTTTTTAAGTGTCTCGTGATTTATTTCTCTTTTGTTCATTGTTTTGTTTCAATAAAAAAAATTATTAGTTCGTTGATATTTATTTTTAGTTGAAATTAAAATATCGATTTGAAATTTTCAGAATCGAAATTATTTTTCAACCTAGAAAATGATAAAATAACGAGAAAAAAAATTTTTAAAAATCAATTTTTGACGAATTTGGAAATTTTTAAAAATCTTGAATCTCTAAAAAATTTTTTTTTTAGCTGATTTTTTGACGAGGCTCTTAAAATATGATAAACTAACATATTTTCACAAGAGACACGAAAAAAAATATAAGATACAGACAAATTTCTCTAATAAGAGTTTATTAGAAAAAAGAGAGTTCCGGAAAAAATATTATTGATGACGTCATTAGTCGTTTCCGTCAAATCCCAAAGATAATATTTTGAAAATAGAGTTTACTTCATCCCTTTTAACACTACGTGTCCCAAATTTTATTTAAATTTTTTGTATCCTCACAGTAGGCCCAAACTATCGAGTTTAAGACACCCTGTACAATCAAGGAAATACTGTATTACGTTTTTTCGATGTAGGTACAAAGACACACCCAGATGCAATCTAAACATAAAAAACGAAGGGTTTGCAGATCAACTGGGAATTGTACCAGAAAATCACTTGTACGACTTTGGCGGTGGAATATCGCAACACGCAGTATTTCAATACACGAATAAAAAATATTATTCGGTAAAATGAAGATCCGTTATTTTGACCACTCAGTATACCAGTCGAGTTACAAATTTGTTAATAGGTAACTTAAACTACGGGTAGGAGAATAATTGCATAAAACTGTTTTGAGAGTACATTTATTTATTTTTATCAAAAGAGGTCAATTATCGACTTCCCTCTTTTTTTTTAACAAACTGGAAATTATTTTTTATCTTGCCAATACTTTAAGTGTGGATTATTTTCTACGAAAACTAATTTTTTTCCCCGTTTTATGCAAATACCCATAGTGTGGCCCTACCTTAAACCTAGCAGGACAGTGTGCAAACAACTTTATACATACTATACTTTATAATTAGTAAGCAAGTACAGAAATAGTTAGTACATACAATAATAACCCAGTAATTAGTTTTAAACTATTATACAACCTTAGTAGTTATCAGAAATTATTTATAAATTTGTTATTTTAACGCTAACACAAATGTTACATTTCAAAAATTGTAAAACTGAAATAAAAGTACATTTATTGCGGACGAATGAGTGTTAACCGCAATATTCGCAAGAAACGGTAAATATTCATAAGAAATGCAATTACGAGATTTTAAAAAAACCATTTTAAAAGTCAGATCCAGGTGCAGAGACAACAAATCGTTTCCGCAACAGAATCGATTAATTATAACGATCCCGTTTTCGCAATGTCACATGAAAATTATAATAATTTAAATTTGTAATTGGCTCATTTGGTTATGTAGGTAGAGTTTTATCGTTCGTCAAGTCCCGGAAAGACACTAGTTCAAGATATTCAAATCGTATTGATAAAACTCGCGAAATGACAAGCTCCGCCATCTGTGAGACCGGTGACGAAATACTTCAAGTTGCCTGTCGGGGTTGCGGTTTACTTCTCGGATATGAGACAGGACCGGCTTCAGGACAAATCGCACAAAATATAAAGTGCAGATTGTGCACATAATGCTAGTATTTACGGACTTTCTAATAAATATTTGGGTGCGTTTCGGGATTTTGCGACTTTTCTCGAGACTAACGTACTGGATTTATTGTAAAAAAAAATAATTTTTTTGCGAAAAATCAATGCCTTTCCCGACGTTTATGCAGATTTGTTTTGTTGCAAGAAAATAAGTTTCTTTCGATGAATATTACGCTGTATCTCCGAAACTAAACGAGACCAAGATAAATTTTGATACAAAGGTCATGCAGTCTTCTCCCTTGTCAGATTAAAGTCCGAACTGACCGACGACACGATTTCCTACGCCATTTCCGTTAAAAAGACCATTAGCATTGAAATATACCCCCAATATCCAAGCTAAGACCATTCGTCAGCAGAACCACCAGAATTATACCGGTTCCGAACCTAATAAACGTCGGTATGTCATAGGTGAGACGCTTTAGCCTTATTTTATCGAAATATAATGATCGTTTCCGCATTCGTCGGCAGAACCACCAGACCTATACCGGTTCCGAACTCAATTAACGTCAGTATGTCATAGGTGAGACGCTTTAGCCTTATTTTACCGACATATAACGATCGTTTTCGCATTCGTCGGCAGAACCACCAGACCTATACCGGTTCCGAACTTACCAAACGTCAGTATCTCATAGGTGAGACGCTTTAGCCTTATTTTACCGACATATAACGATCGTTTTCGCATTCGTCGGCAGAACCACCAGACCTATACCGGTTCCGAACTTACCAAACGTCAGTATCTCATAGGTGAGACGCTTTAGCCTTATTTTACCGACATATAACGATCGTTTTCGCATTCGTCGGCAGAACCACCAGACCTATACCGGTTCCGAACTTACCAAACGTCAGTATCTCATAGGTGAGACGCTTTAGCCTTATTTTACCGACATATAACGATCGTTTTCGCATTCATCGGCAGAACCACCAGACCTATACCGGTTCCGAACTTACCAAACGTCAGTATCTCATAGGTGAGACGCTTTAGCCTTATTTTATCGACATATAACGATCGTTTTCGTTCCCGTACAAGGTTTTTAAGCTCTCATAAATTTTATTTTCTTTTAAATTTACGCCTAATGTAACCGAAATGCGGCCCTGATCCGCACGGATTAAACCCGACTCTACGCCAAACTTAATACTACTTTCCAACCGACAAATCCCTCAACAAACTCATTATAGCGACCCGAGGAGCAACAGTGACTTTCTTAAATCTTCCCGGGGCGTAAGTACGAACAGTTCTCGGTGTTCCCACTCCGTAGGTAGTAGTCTCAAAGCCACCTAATAAGAGGTAAAGCAATCTGGCGTAATCGTGTTTGCTGTAAGGCGGGTTGTATATACACGGACGCCGCAGTCGTATAAGCTGAATAGCGATTCTTCCGAGGAAACGTAAAGTGAGACGACAGACACCTGGCTTCAATGCGGAGCCCGTAATATCGGGTTACGCAATTACTTGCAATCAGGCAGCACAATATACACGCGGCTGACGCAACGGTAAGGCAGGGGACAGGGTCGTATCGAATTTTTTACACCCCCTATCCGAATATAAACTTAATAATTAGCATTCAATAGTTATGTTTCTAAAATGTACAGTTTTTTAAGAAAGAAAACTAACAAAATGTAAGTTTCAATAAATTATAAAGAATACAGAACAAAAATCGAGTGAATACAACAAAAGAAGTTTGCAAATATATAGAAACAATTGGGAAAAGTGGTACAGAAAACTTTTTACGAAGACCACATGAAAAAGGAATATTTATTTCGATAAAAGAGACTATGGTCTAAATCCAAAAGATGTTTCAAAAGATAAAGTGAAAATGGAAAGAAAATAATAATGCAATATGAAGAAAAATTTGAAGTATGAACACATGTCAGATATATGCTCTTTTGAAAGTAAAACTTAGAGAAGACAAGAAGAATCAGACGACTGATAAGCATCGCAAACGATGGAGTAATTTTAAAATCGAAGAAAACATGTTAAGAGGGCTCTATAGCAACTAGCCAACCAGCAGTACATTTTTATTTTATTTTATTACACAGTTTGTCTAAATATGATTTAATGCACAAATAACAGACTTTCCCTAATTTTAACGCAGATTTTCTATAAAACTCAAATTACTTTTTGGTGTACAGAAATTTGTAATTTTCGATGCCAAAAACGGCAAATTACAAATTTCTTTACAACAAAAAGTAATTTGAGTTTCAAATAAGTATATTTTATAGAAAATCTGCATTAAAATTAGGGAAAGTCTGTTATTTGTGCATTAAATTATATTTAAACAAACTGTGTAATAAAATATAAAAATGTATTGCCGATTGGCTATTTGCTATAGAGCCCTCTTAAAGAAATGATGCAAAAATCTTGACAAAAGAAAAACAAAAATAGAAGATGACAAGAAAACAAATGAAGAAACTTTGGAAAAATGTAGAGAAAAGGAAAGAAATAATCGTGTTTGTACACTTTTCTTGGCGTTTTATGAAACTATTTATATAGTGGAATAATATTTTTGACAAGAAAGCAATTTTGAGTGCATGGAAGTTACTGTTGATGACTTTTGCGCGACGTCACCATCAATCCCTCTGGATCTCCCCGACTCCCTGAATTTATTTTCAAGACACCTGTACGCTATGTTTACAGTCGTCTCCGAACCCTCCTACCGCCGCCTTATGATTCACTTAAATCAAACCGGGCCGAGCTAATTAGCTGGGCGTGAATTTGAAATTTTAAACCCCAATTTATTGACTTGGACCCGCAAAAACAGCCTTGATCGAATCATCTCGGCGACGGGCTTATTAAATATAGTTTTCTCGGCTTTATCCGGGATTATAGCAGGGGCACTTAAAAGTTTTAATTCGATGAAGTCAAAAGTTCTCGCACGTTTCGAAAAGTTGGAACGGATAGAGTAGCTGTCCATTACCGCTAACCGGGCGGAGTTTTCACAAAGAGGTAGTTGGAAAATTGATAAATTACGCTTACGAAAAAAAGCGTTACGGAAAAACTGACGGTCCTTAAAGAGCAGAACGTCGATCACAAGAACGCACGAATGGCAAATCAATACGGACTTCTTTCTGCTTGAGCTCGACTGAATATATTTCAATCTCCAAAACACGTTGAAATTCTTATTAGTCCCAAGACGATGCGCTAAAAATACGCCGAGATTCGACTGGGGGGGCGGATATCAACAGGTTGCTAATATATTTTTTGTAAAGACGACCTAGTTCGGGCAGGATACAAGTTTATTCTTTTACTGTCAGCAGGAATAGAAGCGGCCGTTTCTGTACGAGGCGGAAACGAACAATTTATTTAGGTTTTAAAATAAAAAAAATGATTGAGTTATTTATAAGCCGAAAATGTCGATTTACAGGAAAAAAAACGACTAAATATCCGAATTCGTGAATAATTCGTTGATGTTTGTTGTGAAATGAGAAAAAAAATCGTTTGTTACGAAAAATAGTTAACACATTTTTCGGAAATTTATTAATTTTGACTGTCTCTTTATTTTGACAGCACTTCTACTGCTCGCCACAAAATTAGTTGTTTCTTAACTGTCATCCTTGGGCAATTGAGTCTTAACTCTGTGGTGTAAATTCGTAAAATTGTTCTAATTCGATTCCGAATACTGAAATCCGATTTTACAATCGTCGTTGCCATAGTGTTTACAATAGTTTTTAGTGGTTAATGTCAAAAATTGCTTCTGTGTATAGCGACTCGAAGTTGATGGATATCGTTTTAATTTATGGTGAAGCAACATAACATTTGTGTTAGTTCGTAGAAACTGAGTAAGTAAAATTGCCGTAATTGAAGTGACTGATATAAAATGTGCACCAAATTTATAATTTTTGAAAAAGCCGCATTTTTTAATCATTTTTGTTTGTCTAAATACCAGATACGGATAATCTACAATGCACAGGGAGATTATTTCAATTAGTTAAAATGATAATAAAAAATTGGCAGTTTATTATATATCGAGCTAAAAGGAATCAAAGTGAGGGAGTGCCACAAGGAAGAATCTTAAGACCCATCTTGTACAAGATCTATAGAAGTGATGTTTGTTACGAAAAATGGTTAACACGTTTTTCGGAAATTTATAAATTTTGACCGTTTTTTTATTTTGACGGTACTTCTATTGTTTGTGACAAAATTACAATTACAAAATTGTTTCTTAACTGTCATCCTTGCGCATTGAAGGTCTTAACTCTGTAGTGTAGTGTAAATTCGTAAAATTGTTCTAATTGTGTTATTACTCAGGGTATATGCAAAATATTGAGCAAAAAAAATTCCATGATATTTCCATGAAAATTTAAAAAAAAATTCAATTTCAAATATACAGGCTTTATAACAATCTTCATTTGAGAATCGTCACCATTTTCTAAATTTCTTGTCAAAATTTCCAGCGTAAATTTAGTGGCTGCCAACAAATTTATAATTTTTGAAAAAACCTTTTTTTGTAATCATTTTTGCTTCTCTAAATATCAGATAAGGATAATGCGAGGAGATTATTTCAATCATCTAAAAACATAATAAAAAACTGACATTTATTATATACCGAGCTAAAATTTAGTAATTAAAACGGGAGTGCCACAAGGAACAGTCTCAGGACCCATCTTGTAGATGATCTATACAAGTGATATACATATATGCGAGTGATAGAAACTTTTTAAAAGTTAGTTGTTGTTTTGTAGTCCGACCAAAAAGAATCTCTTGTATTTTTTTACTGGCGCAGTTTCCGTAATAGTATGGATACCGCAATGGATGTTTAATATAAATAATTGTCATTGTAATATCAAATAAATCACACAATATTCAAATCAGCAGTGCTATGCTACAATTGTGCATAATTACACCAATCACGAATTTACGAGTACGCTATTGATACACGGCGAACGTAGACAAAACGCGGCCGCAGAACGAAGAACTTTCATTATTTTTCAACCCCAGCAGTTCTAAATGTGTTTAAACATTCTTGCTGAAGCGCCAAAGGCGCGAATGTGTTTTATTTACCACCCCATCAATCGGATCAGAGTCAACCGAGCGTAAACGCGAAAGAAAGAAACACGAATGCCAACGCGACGCTCCACTAACCCCAACATTATTATAAACCTCTATTCCAGCCACCAGGACAAAAGGATAGAAGAACAGATCCTTCACCGCAGCATGCAACAAACGACCGGAAAGTGTTGACACACACAAAGAGACAATTCCTCGGCGGCGGAAAAATTACTCCACGGCACTCCACGCGATTGCGGTGTCACCACTTTCCGTCGTGTAACAGGATGAATGGGGACTTACCGGTGTCGACGGCCGGCACCTTCCTCATGTTCTCCTGCCGCCTCCGCCTGACCGTCACTTTCCGGAAGACGGTGCCGCTGAGCGGTTCGATATCGCACAGCTCCACCGGCGTCGTTTCCTCCCTGGCGAAGTGGATCTGCGGAAGGGGGGTATTGTCTTTTCAGTCTATTTGACGCCGTGTTTACGGTCAGATAAGGGGGGGGACGGTTAAAACACCGGAACGGTACGGGAAATAACCACAGACGGGGTAGGCTTTATCTGCGGTTCGCAGTTAATTTACAAATGGAAAATGGAAAATGGAACGACTGCGTCGCGTTCGGGATATTACAACGGTTCCGTTTGATTGCGCTGCCAGATATACTTTGAAGTACATGCGAAACCACTTTTTATCAAAATTGGAGTACATCCGGGACATGTTTGGTCACTGGATCCAAACTCAGGTCTTAAACAGCTCACTAGATAATTACAGTGTTCAAAACGGCCCATATTTACAGCACTCTTGAATCGTTAGATATTTTAGTATAAGGGGAATGTCGACAAAATGCTACCATAGCATCGCGATTGTATATCGACCTTTTTCTCTTACGATTTCACTCCACAGCTCATAGTTATCGAAAGGGCTCAAGAAATATGAGACCTACAGGGCAATCGTAGCGGACATACGACTTTGGAAAAGGCAGAAGGGATCGAAGGAGATAGCCTGAAGAGAAGACAGACAGAACAATGTTTTGAGATAAACGATTTTAAGTTGTCGTTTGATTTTCCTGGGACCAATAAACCAGGATCTTCCTTATAATCTTCATTATCCTTTTTGCTGCATTTGGATGAAGTCATTTAGAACCATCTTACTTTTCATAAAGGGAGGAAAGAAACGAAGATGAAGTCTGCTGTGTCTGTGTTGGAATATTTAAAACGCGAGGACAATGAGGTGGTTGAAGCTTCATGGGTGTTCTGGAGGTAATTTACAAATGGGCAATAGAAATGGAACGCATGTGACATGTTTTGGACACCAAATGGTTCTATTGGATTCACCTACCACGAAAAATTTGAGATCCTGACAGTAGTTCAATGAGAAAACAAATAGCAAGACCATAATTTCAATCATCATACAATTTGGGAACAATGGAATTACTTGGAACCAAGGACAATGTTACAATTTTTTCCTCGACTCCACATTTATACTTTGAATGTCACATACCTCAGCTGTGGTCGTGCCGGCCTCCTCAAAGTTCTCCGTGTGATCCTCGGGCAAAGATCGAGCCCCAACGGGACCGGTCCTCTTCTCCTTCACCTTCCCATCGTTCAAGGATTGAGTCCTCAACACGGGCTTCTCCGTCGTTATCCTACTGGCCACGTTGCTCTCGAAGCTGACGCGCTTCTCTATGCTGCTGGATCTATCCTGCTTCTTCCCGGAGTCTGGCGTGAGTAAATCTAGAAAATATAAGTTCAAGCAAGCGCGTCAACCGCTGACCAAAGCCTCACCTTTCTCCTGCTCCCCGCTTTCTTGCTTCACCTCGGTCTTCTTCCTCTTGGGTGAACCAGTCCTGTCCTTACTCTGCCTCGTCTCGGCCAGCTTCATCAGCGGGTTGACCCGCGTCTGTCTCTTAGGAGGTTCACCCTCCGGGTCCTTCCCGCCATTTTCCGGTTTGGCAGGGGAAGAAGTTCGTTCTATGTAAACATCCTCGGACTGCGTCCTGCGAGTGGGGGACCGACGGTGTCGAATCGGAGATACCGAAGGGTCTTGGTTCTGGTTCTTCAAGTTGGTTTGGTGGAGAGCTAGCGAGGGGTAGTTGGTGATGTCCTGACCCCTGGGGAGGCTGTTGTAAGGGCGCAGCTCGGGGGAACCCCTAAGGGCGCTCCATCTCGGGGTAGGGTCTAAAACAACGGATACAAGCACGTGAGTGTTTTATGTCCGACAGAACCGAGTCGGTGCTTACTCGAGATGGTCCAGGATCTGCGGATGGTTCTTTTGATGATGTCGGCGGCTGGCACGTACACCCGATTGTCGCGCCGCCTGCTGGGTCGCCTCACGAACTCGTTCATCCACTCGCCAGATGTCGCTTGGATCTCCCTGAAATAAAAAAATTGTGAGTTTTCGCGGATTAATTGTTAGGCTATAAAGAAACGTTCGTGCTATCAGTATTTGGCTCACCCTGTATTCGCGCTTTGTGCGACAACAGTCGTGTGCGGCGCAAGAAGTATTTATAACGTTTAGGTGGACACTATATTTCACAAATAAGGAAAAGAAGCGACGTCCCCAGAGGACGAATGATAAATTTAGTACGCGATACCACTTTTTTTTCAATCTTCAGCGGACGAGGCAATCTTCTAAGTGCTTCCGTGGAAAGCTGACAACCACTTTGTTTGCTCGTACGTGACTAAGACTCAACACTCACTCGTTTTTCTCTATTTGGTGGTGGTTTCATTAAAAAAAGCGGCAAGGCCAACGGCGCAGATTTAGTTCTGGATATCTACGGCGATTGTGACGAAAACGGAGCTGTATTTTCGCGACGGTCATCGCTAAAGGAGCGTACATATTGTTATCTTTTATCTCCAGAGGAAACACGTAAACTGTTTTAACAAATTTGTTGGCATTGTGGCATTTTTAAATGTGTCGCTTCCTTATCTGTGTGCAAACAAATTAACGTTTCATTTAAATAAATGCTGTTAAGAGACATGTGATATGAGAAACTACAAACGTATTTCACAGCAAATCTACTTCACAGCAAACTACAAACGTACTTCACAGTAATTTCCAGTATAATTTAAATACTGTAATAAATTTGTTTGCGTAATAGATTAATCGTTTGAAAATGTGCCGCCATCTAGTGGTTTCCAGCAACATTATATGTCTTGTTATCTAAGGGACATTGTTTATGGTCGTCGAAATTTAAAATTTCCATGGTTATGGTCTATGGTAAACAAGAAAGTAGTCGGCGACGTTACTGTAAATGACTTTTCAATTCTTCGATAGCATTCATCAATGAACTAAATTCAATCTCGATTAATGTAAGAGATTCGAAAATTATTTCGCTTATGCCTGTTTTTCTGTGATCTAAAATTTTTAAATACGTTAATACAAACATTATAACTTCTAAATTTAGCTATCGCCCACATGACAGTTGCATTGTTGAGGCTCGATGCGCCTAACGAAAATATCGAAGCCCTTTGTTACTTAGCCAACAATACAAACATCGATTCCGCGGAACAATGATAGGAGACATTCATGCTTGGTGGAATATAGGACATATCTTTCTAAAATTGTACACACAATTCGTGTAGGTCGAGCTGTTGTGCCGGGCGTCAATCAAATGTCGGAAACGCGACAATGTGCAAACGGAACGTCGAACAATGGACAGCGTTTGTATGGCGTATATATATTTTTTAATCAACAGTTATGGAATTAATTTGCGAAAAAATCTCCCGCAACAAACCCATCCTCCTTTTTATCTTATAATCTCGATGTATTTTGTTGCAACTTTGTAGCTATTCATTTAGTTGGGCTTAAGCCCGTGTTGTTCAATCAGGATCGACTTCAACGAGCGAAATCAATAAAAACCGTAAATTAATTACAGCGTAAATACAGGTTTTCTATCTCCCTTTAATCCGCATCTACACTGGGCAGAGCTTCAATAATTTACAACTGCGGTTAAACAAACAGTAATTTTCGGAGGACAAAACCACTTAAACCGAACCGTGGAGGTATTATTGATACGTAAATATCCATTGCTTGCTAATTAAAATAATAATATACAACGCTTTGATAAGAGAGTAAATTTATAACGTTGCCATGGTTGACAGCTATATTGGTGTAATAAATATACTGAGAAGTCATATCCACGCTTTGTATATTAAAGTAAAATCAGTGGTCTACGTTACGACCCCTGAGGTACACCGAACTGAAATATGATGAGGTGTCTGTCTATCAAATTTCAATAAAAATTATGATGGTTTTGCAAATGACAGTATAATGAATTGGTTTCGTAAAAACACCACTTATAGGCGAGCGGTTCACCCCTAAAAAGATGCTTCTAAAAGAAGGTAACCGACTAAATTTTTAAAACAAAAACCTACAGCATGAAACTTTTTTTATTTTATAAAGTGTATTTTTCTGATAATTTACATATTTTTTTATATTTTTCGGCGTGTCAGTCAATTGTTTTAAAAAAAAATTTGTAAAAAAAATTACTCGTCGAATGGCTTTTTTGTTTATAACAATTGACTGACCACGCCGAAAAATATAAAAAAAATATGCAAATTATCAGAAAAATACACTTTATAAAATAAAAAAAGTTTCATGCTGTAGGTTTTTGTTTTAAAAATTTAGTCGGTTCATGCCTTTTTTTGTAGGGGAGAACCGCTCGCCTATTACTGCTTGCTGCGCATTTCATTCACACAGGGAGGTCTTCTGAATCGCAACCGGATGATATCTTAATAAGATTCGCGACGTGTCATTAATTCATTCTTATTTAATTTGGTACATTTTTCATTTCCCTCGGATCCGACATAATGCTGTTCTGATTCATTCTATTCAATAATTGCGAGATTCAACTTGAAATTTATGTTCAGTGATGGATTGTGGCAAATCCTTAGGAATTATGAACTGTTCATATGAAAGAAATATAGAAAAATTGTGCGAAAAAAGCGCTTTCGACAATGACGCTGTCAAAAGTCCATTAAGGTTTGGACTGGCATTGTTACCAATCTGTTATTGTGTTAAGTGTTTAAAAAAATGATTTACTAGTTTCTCCCTGAAAAATACCCATCAAAGTAGGTCAGGGAATGTGGTATTTAGGTGACGAAGCTCCACATTATACCCTGGTGCTGTACGAGAATATTTAAGTATTGAATTTAGACATGTCCTTTGCAAATAACACCATTTTCAGAAAGAAATAAAGCACATGGGCTCTTTCTATGAAACTCGTCTTTTCTGCATATGCAGGCAATGTCGAAAACATGTATTTGCTATTAAGGGATTGACTACACCTCACTGTAACTTTTTTTAGGTCTCTGTTCAGGTCTGACCTTACCGAAACCAACCCCTGGTAGGTTTCCCTATAAATCGGCGTTAGCGAGCAGCATCAGCCGCCTGAACATTCCAGTCTAATGCCTTCGGATCCCCGCGAACGCCGTGTGCTATCCGGCACGGAGTCCTTGACCAGGATCTTCCAGCTCGGTTAGCCGGTGCATCACCAATCGATATTCGACGCAAAAATAACCCCCGGCTTCGCGGCTAACAGTCGTGTCTACCTTTCATCCTCTAAAAATATATTTCCCCTTGGGAGAGGCACATAGAATGGAAAATTCGGCAGCCTTCACCAGGTATCCCCCATAATTTGTGCAGTAAACAGAAAAACTGCCAGTCCGGATGCAACAACAAAGCAGATCCTACATTACATGAAACAAATTGGGGTCAATATCGTAAAAATTCAAAATGCTTATAGTTTCCGAGAAAAAAATTATTGAAGTTGTAGTATTTTCAACTTTTACATTGCTGGGCTACTGTAGTCTCTAGCGTCGTTCGCGTTGTGGGCTGAAATCCGATTTTCTGTACATTCAAAAATTGTTTTTGGATAAGTTCTGAATCACCCTGTACGTTCACCGTTTGCATTACTATTGAATTTAAATTTAAATGTAGATAAAATCGACCTGTCAGCCTACATCGAGCAATCTACGGGACGATCTATATATAATAAATAATAGCGGTTCCCTTATCAGACAACAACAGACACCTTTACAACTAAAAACAATTCGTCGAGATGCTAAACCAACTAATACAATTTACCTTGTTAGGTCTACTGGTAGGGGGAGAACTGCTTCAAATAAAGAACAATAGCAAAGATGACCTGTTAGTGTCAGTAACGGGTCTAAAAGACTTAGTGGTACGCCCAGGGAAAATTGTAAGTATTACAGCAGCTAATAAGTCAAATTTTATAGAAAAAAAATAAAAGAACAATCGAAAAAAGTGAACAAAATCCTTTTCCTTACGGTGTACCTCAGGGAGGCACATTGGGGCCCTTCCGAGATAAATGTATGACCCCATACTATTCCAGGTTCCTGTCACAGTACCGGAGGAGTTCACAGGCACCATAACAGGGATCCCAAAGCGTCTAAAGAAGGCAAAAGTCCCAAGGACGACAATAGAGTTAACTTTGAGCCCTATGGCTATGGTATCGGTTTTGGATGGTTTCAATATAAAAGCCAAGGTGAGTAATGTAGGAGTACCTGAACAAAATCACGTAAAAACGTCCAATAGGACGTAAGTATGGCAATTTTGGTGGCCACTGCACGCTATCAGTTCCTCAATTAACTTATTTTATCGCTTGCAGATAACTCCGTTGCAAGGGAGAAGATGCAAGCCCGCCGCGTGTTCGGTAGACATCAATTCTTTATGTTCCCCAAGGAACCAAGTCAAGAACAACAGGGGGGCGGTGCTGGGATGCCACAATTCCCCATTTCTCTTTAAAGTCGTGTGCCCCAACGCGGTTGTAACGACTGCCGACGTGAGGAATGTGTTCACTTGTACCACGGACTCTTATTTGATAACCTTGGGCTAGTCAGGTCGATGAAGGCGAATATTGTTTACTGGATATACCTAAACCATAAAATGGGTTGCGGGCAATGGAAAGTATCGCTGATAACAGCACTGTTTTGAAGTGATTGTGATTCATTTAACTGACTAACGACTTTAAGTGGCCTCTTCATCATACTACAATATTCAAGTCGTTCTTTCCTGTGTCGATGTTATTGTTTTATTTTATGTATTTGTTACAATAAAAAAATCCCCCAATATTAATGGTTTCCATTGAACTGTTTAAAGCGAATTATCATTGAGATTATTTGGAAAATTAAGATAGTCAACTCGAGAGGGAAGCGATCACTTTTATCTCTCTGGTGGTTTATCTTGAAGTACCGTAAATACGATAATTTAATGCAATCATGTGTATAAACCAGGGACACACTTGAAAATAATTCGAAACATTTTTCAGTGTCGCACCACAATTGGACCAATACTGAAATCCACATCCACTTCAAGATAATTTTATTAGCATTACTACATGTACAAAAATAAATGAAATATTTTACAATTTGAAAATCCTAAAATTCGTTAAGTCCTAAATCCCTCGAGGTTAGCCGAAAATGATCAAGTAGGATTGAGCCTGACAGGTGAGTACGTTGGCGACATCGTCAGAGGTCACCACTGCTTTTGGACAGATGGTCTTGAATACTACTGGAGAATTGGTGCAAGCAACTACAACTCCTAACGTGTTCAACACCTGATTGGCAGCTGGACAACTAGCAAGTAGATTGGCAGAGCACAGAGCTGTGGAACAGTCGGTACCTTGCAAGGGAATCACCTACAAAAAAAAATGATTTTTTGTGTTTTTGTTCTTCGAGAATAGGTATATTTTAACAAGTAGTTTAAATACAAAAACTTTCAAGAAAATCATTGATAATACCTCTTTACTTAAGAAGCCCTACGACAGGACCTTGTGGAACACCTGTCCATATTTAATCATTTTATTTCAAAGAAAATATAAGTCGGTAAATATGAAACAAAGCTATCCGAACTATTATGAAACAAACGAAGTAACTTTAAGACATCAAAGCGAAGCCAAACATCTGGCCTTTAATAGAGCTTTACATTTGAGTATTTAAACCTGGTTAAAATATAATTTCTCTCACATAACTCTCATTTAAAAGTAAGACTTACCTTAGCCCTCAAATTGAAACCTTCAACTAGAGAAACTGAATAGGTGTCCTGAGTAACGCTCAATGTCAACTCAACCTTCGTCCTTGGAATATCAGTACTTTCAGAATCTGCGGGTAAAGCTGATATGGTTCCAGAGAAGTCATCTGATACTGTGACTAGAGCCTAAAAACAACGTAAAGTTTCCAATGGCCCCCAAATTCTCCAGACCTTAACCCTATAGATTTTTTTACTAAATACGTATCTTTGGCTTAAAAGTAAACCATAGGGTGTAAGGGGGTTATTTTGACAATTAAAAATAATATACTTACGGTTGATCCTGTCAAAACTGTGATATCACTTTGATCGGTAACTGAAACTAAAAGAGATACCGATCCAGTATTCTTAACTTGTATTACACGACTATAAACTGTGACGATAGACAAAGCTACGATGAGAGTTTTGAAAAACATTTTTTATTTCTTTTTTTTTTTGGTTCAAGATAATTCGTTCCGTTCACACTTTTCACTCGAATGACTTAATGTTAACTTTTCCGTTATTTATACCCACTAAATCGTTACGTTTGTAGAACCACGGGGGGTAATAATATGATAACCGCTGTTTGCTTTGTACTTAGCGAAACAAAGCAGTGAAAAACATTTCTTTAGAAACGTAAACCTTTAATATTCTTGGATTACATAAGTTGATTCCAGCTAAATTTAAAAAAAAATATCGCGAAAATCGTACGAGGTAAAAAAGGAACACTTAATGTAGTAAAGTTAAAAATTGAACACAGAAGTTGTCCCACAGGGTTCAGTACTTAGCCTCACATCAAAAATAGTTCTGGTAGAGGGCTCGAGGGAAAAAGTAACATGCATAGCATGTGGATGCATGAAAAAAATTAACTTTGTTCGTTTTAAAATGTGAAATTATATTTCTATTAATTATTGTTGTTTCAATGAAAAATAAGCCGTGTTCAACAACGCGAGAAGAATTTGTGCACGTTTAAAATGTCACTCGGGCGAACGCAAATACCAAGCAGCTAAAAGAGCGTTTGGAACTACGCTGGAGCGTCCGAATTATTTCATCCCCTAACCCTTTGCATTTGGGAATTCTATGTATTCGTACGTCACCTCTAGCAAGCTTCAAATCAATTTTTACGGTGTTTTATATGAAGCGCAAGCTGAGAGTACAGGGATACCGCCAAAATAATTCAACTTCCTGACAATAAATTCTAAACTTTCATTAAAATACAAACCCTTTCAAATATATTAAACATAATAATAAAATACTTTTCTTGGATCAAACAACCTTTGCGTGTACATCCTGTAGAAGTATCTCCGGATTACTTGGAATATTATGTCGGGATTTTAAATTAGCCCTCAAAAATGTGGTAATAAAGAAAATATTGCGCAAAGAAAGGCACATTAAAATAAAAATATTACTGCTGTTGGAAAAGTATGGGCTAATATAAACATCAATTATTTACTTTATAGAAATACTTTAAATTCCGAAACTGCCTTAAAAACGACAACAAAAATTTTTATTGGAAGGTTTACGTTCTCCTAGCAATCCTCTGCTGTAATAAAATTTATAATTTCATATTAAATATTAAAAAAAAAAATTGTAAGAGCTTTTCTACGTTTAGGATGTATGCACTATTTTTTTATTACCCTGTACGTGTAGCCCATGCATCAAATAATTCCATGTTTTCTGAAATTAATACCTCAATTTCTCGGCAAACATTAGCTTTATGATACCAATGCACCGCACGTGCTAAAAATACGCTTGTTTGGCAAATATCTTGCAGGTTATACGGTTTGGGGAAATACGGTTTAAACGCATTTTTTCCTTACGAAAATTCAAATATTGTAACATCTTTCAACATAAGGCTTAAGCCAGTACGTCGACCAGGTTTGAGCCTAACGTAATTCTTATGAATATTTTTATAGCCTCAAAGAAAAATCAAGGTCACAAACAAGTTAATACTGACACTATTTTTCACAGAACAATAAACTTATGACGTTAAAATCAGGTGTTATTTTTTGAATAAAAGCAAATAAACAGGTAGGTAAAGGGAAATTTTCCAGCTGATAATGTTTATGGAAACTAGATCTTGATAACCACCCAATATAGAAGTGAATTTGAAGAAGACAAGATGAACAAGAAATAGAGTAAGTCTAATCGCTATTTTTTTTTCAAAACGTTCGGTTGCAAGGTACATATTAAAATCTCAAAATTTTATTCTGACATTCGATTGATTATTTAAAATAATGAAAAATGCCTTTGGAAATTTTGTTTTACGACAAAAATAAAAAATTACGTTCGCTTTGTGAAATTATTATAACTTTTATTTTATTAAAAATTACAAAATTTCTCTGAAAAGATAGATTACATTTTTTAGAGTAGATTGAAAAAAAAAATTGTAAAATTCATTCATTTTTCTGCTTGCTACGATTTTTTTAAATTTCTAAAATCATCCCTTAACTTCTAGTCACCTTAACATTGTTAATTTTAATGGTAGAAGAAAAAGTCAATAGACCATTTTTATGTAGAATTTTATGCTCTAGAACTTTTATAAGAAACTTTTTTTTCTAGCTCTTACCCCTTCTGAGTTATCTTGAAAAAAAACCTTTATTTTATCTTTTTCCACACTTGGCCGGAGTTTGAAAACAAATTACTGTCACTTTCTGTATTCAGGCACCATTTAATTGGACTATTCAATTTGTAAAAATTGCATTAAGTATTCTCATCTTCGAAGACAATTCTTGTAACAAAAAATAACACTATATAACTTTTCTAATAAAAAAAAATTCTATGTGATACTCGAGCCCATCGAACTTGTCAATAAGAGGCTACATATTGTCAGGAGCCGAACAAACATCATTTCGAACATCTGTAATAAATACATTTTTGTTTACTTTTCTTTTTCCATTTTCGCGAAAGCCTCGAGCACTTCAAAGACTAAATTTTATTACTATCGAAGCAGGTTATTGCGATATCCCTGTAGTCCTTTGATATCAGGACATATACGAAATATTTTCAATATCACCATAAAATAAAAACTATTGGACATTTAAATAACAACGTTGATTGTTGCGGACTATTAAAAAAAAGTTATTGATCCCATCCGTCAAGATACTAACTAAAATTATTACAATGTTTACTATCACTATCACGTAACTATGTAAGCTCCTTTCCGTCGGAGTATCAATGAAATTGTTTTTATAGGGTCATATTTATCGTTTCGTACAGATATTTTTTATAATTTCCACTCCTCGCAGTCGTCAAAACAACCGTTCTTCATTCATCTCTGGTAGATCTACGCTGAGCCCTATCTATTTACCGTTGACACCGAGCGTTCTTATCGTCGAGGGGCGAGGGCAAGAAATTATTAATGAAGTTTTTATGTCAATGTCGATTCTCGGAATCGATGGATAATTCGCGTGATCTCTTTGTTTGCGGAGAATGTTATGTCGGGAGAGGGAGAAAGCCGTCTTTTGTTCGTAATGTCAATACAACGGTCGCTATCACGTAATTTCTTCATTGGCTTTGTTTGTATGTATTTGACAGAACGTTTCATTAGTGATATGGCTTTACAAATATGATATTTCTATACCTACATAGACTTTCTGCAGTCTACTGGCTTGTATTTTTTTTACATCCACGCAAAGGCTTAGGACCTTGTAGTTAGTACATTGTAAAACTATGCCGATTTTCGGTATAGTTCAAAGGTATAGGGAAGCAAATTATAAAACCTCAAACGCTTTATTGGGGTTAGTGCAAACTTCCTTAATTATAATTTCAATTCGGCCCTTCTTATGTCTTCTAGGCTTCTTCCTGTGCTCAATGCGCTGCCGCCGCTCGCTCTGATTTCATTAGTAAGTGCCAGAGGCGTGCCTCCAGAAGAGGGGCCACAATGATATCACTTATAATCAGTAGGCTTAGTGCGGCGCGAAGATTAACAGGACCGTAAGTTCCAGATACCAACTGAACTGCGTATTGATGGATTTAGTACCTAGTGTTTATCTGCCGCGCCTTTGTCACATTGCTCGAAATGACTTTTATCGAATTTTAAATTTATTACAACGATAATTATTTTTTAGAATTAAGCATAAAGAAGTTAAAAAAATTAATAATCATTGTATTTTATGGTATTCGATGCACGTCAATATTCCTTAATTAATCGAACTTTTTGTGCAAGTTGAAGATGTTGATAATTTTTTTTCTCGGAATTGTTCTAAACTCAAAATTGAATTGATCAATTCAATAAAAACACTTTCTAACCTCAAAAATTCAAATTTTTGTATACAGGGTTTGGAACCCCCCCCCCCCCTCTATCTCAGAAAATATTGCTCAGACAAAAAATGATTAGAACAAAAGTTGCAGGACGGTTTAAAATAACGTTTCAGTAAATACAGAAAACGAATATGGGGAAGAATACAACATGAAATTAATGTTATGAGAGGTAATGCACAATTATTGGATAATTTCTAATTTTCGAAGAACTAATGTTTGCGTTTAAGAACAAGAAAGTAGTTTTGAGCATTTACTGTAATATTATTTTAATGTGATTACAAATATCAGTTTATTTAAAATGTTAATGTTGACTTTCTTACATTATTAGTTGATATTGTTTATTTAAAATATTAGTGTTGATTTTTATTTTATTAATTGATAATACTAATACCAAAAATGTGTAGTTATTTTTTTTAATGTGACGTTTTTTCATTATTATTCCCTGCTTTGAGACTGCAGTTATAAATTATTTTTTATAAATCGGAATTTTTGCCTATATTTAATGTATAAAAAATGCGAAATTTACTCGGAATCCATAAACAATATCGAAATTTTGTAAGAGCAAAAAATCTTCTAAAATAGTGCTTATTTTCAAAAATATAAATTCTGTCGTCATTGGCATACACACAAAAAAGTTACGGGAAAGCCAGTGGCGCACAGGCACTAGAAAGAGAACATCCTGTATATGTATTCTCACCAAATTCTATATTTACCTTGCCCTTATATAAAAAATAAGTGTACCAAATTTGAAGTTTCTAAGAAAAATAGTTTTCAAATTATTTGAAAAAAAAACTAGGTTATCTATTCTATATTTAGAAGGCTATATCTCAGTAGGCGTGCACTTTTGTATATAGGTAAGTCAGAGTAAATAGTCTTATTTTCATCCAAGGAACCTGTTGTCAAGCGTTGTCCATCCTTATCAGGGACACCCTGTAGAATTGCCTGAGGCTTAAAGACTGCGTGAAATGGTAGAACGTAACGAACAAAGGTTCTAGAAACGACGATAGATCCGATACGCCCCGACGAGCCGCCACTGAACCACCCGCAGACAAACATGTTTACATCACAACATTAAAAACTGTGATATGAAAATTAGCCTAAGAACAAGTACACGCTATAAAATATCGACCAGTGGAAGACCCAGTCAGTCGTGCATCGGCAGCGGTGAGGATTTCGTACGGGTGCTGTTCGAAATGTTCTTCAGGGCCTTGATGATAATCAGCGGGGTGCTGACGGTCACCCAAGCCAAACACATTAAGGGCATCCAGATAAAGAACCGCGGTATGGAGAAGCTGTGGGTCGAAATGACGGACGAGGATGGTTTTTATTTACCCTCGGGACAACTGGTAAGTTGGTGTGCGATAAGGTGCGGGTCGAGTTTTTTTTTGGACGTGACGTCAAAGCGCGTAGATAATTTTCATTCATGAAAGAGGTGATGAAATCTTACGCTAAAATTAGTACGCGATTGCGAATGACGGAAGAGTTCACGAAAGTTCAATAAAAATCAGCAATTGTGGGGTGCGGTCGTGAAAATTAGTTTTAGGGCGAGAATTTTATAAGTTATTTAAGAAATAGGTCCAATTACAATTTTTTACACCTTTAGTGTCTTTTATGTATAATTAAGCTGTTATTTTTTTTTAATAAGTGTTGATTCAAATATACTTTGTTTTTGAATCACAATTCACTAAAATTTTGTTTACAAACTAGTAATACTTAGAATCTGATCGTGGTATTATGAAATCAAAGATATCAGTTTTATAAGTTCGATGACATTCAAAATTGTTAAGATATTTCCCACAAGAAAACAACAAAATGCTTATCTAGGCTTATCTAGGCTATGCTTATCTTTTTATAGGCGCTACAGGCTTCTAATTGAAAGTATATACGCTTTGTTTACATTTACGCCCTGTACTTCTAAATTCGCAAAGTCAAAGTTCTGTCTGACGCGTCAACTGTTTTTGCTTGACCCCAGGTTAAGAAAAAAACATAATTTCATCATAATCAGTGATAATTTATCGCTTTGTTTCTTTTTAAAACCGCGATAGACGTAAATCGAACAAAGAAGATTCAAACTAATCGATAGATCGTTACAGAAAAGGAAAAATCACGGAATTCCAAGAAAAACTATTATCTTTCGCGCGCGTGTGTGTGGTTCGATACACTATTTGGAATGACGTCACAATGCGGTGTTGCCAAATGCGCGAAAAATAGTAAAATGAATTCAATTAATAATTATTATTGGTACGACACTTTTCTTTCTATGTAAAAACCTACACATTACGTTATATAGCAAACACTCGGGGCGTCACGAAACTAATTTATTAAACTATTTAACATTTATTAAATAATAAATTTAGGTTGCGCGGTTCGACACGCAGGTCGCCATCGCCTACTACCCGGCTCGAAAAAAAATCGTGTCAGCCTTGTACCAGTCTCTTTCGCGCTGTTCTCTTGTCTTTCACGGGTATTTTACGCGCGTATATAACTCAACTTCGGCTGTAATTTTCACTTTTTACTCCCTGGATAAACGACCCCCCCCCTCCCCCTCTCCCATATCGTTTGCATATGGAGCAGAACATCAGGAAAATTACACGACTGAAGAATTATTTCATTTTCGCATTGCTATGACAGATGCTTTTTACACATAAAAACTGTTTTGCATAGAGATTATACCTTTTGATGTGGCTGACAGTGGCCTAACCGACGTCAGTCTGATTTGCTTTGAAAAGAACAAATCGCGAAAAAAAATCATACGTTATTAAATGCCCTTACTCTTTCAAAAATAACAGACAGCGTGTTCTAATGAAATAAGGCTTATTTCCCAGTGTACACAACGTTTCAGGTACCATTACATACAATCAATCTCCAATGTATTGTTAAAAAAAAAAATTATGCTGATTTTAGGCTTCCATCGTGGTGGAGGACAAGTGGACCGGAAGAATCCGCGCCCACCCGGAAGAATGCGGAAAGAAGACCTGCAACTTGCCCTACACCGAAGCTGTGTTGAGATTTGAAGGAGAAGGTAACGAAGATCGCTACTACGTATCGGTAATAGAGGGATTCAACAGACCTATCAAGGTGAGGAATTTCAAAAATATATACCCCCAAATAGTACCCGCGTATTATTAGCGAAAATTATAAAATAAAAATAACCCAATAATTATCGACAAAGTTTGACATTTGTGTGCGAAGTCAGTGACGTCTCCAAGAAATTTAAAAATAATTTAACTGTATTAAATGTATTATATTCACCAACGTCTCATTTTGTTGTAATAAAACTACCCAGTACGGCATCTCTAAGATGTAGTTTCTTTTATGCGCTTGACTCGGCCCATCAAAATCGCTTCGCGAACAGATTTTTATAACGCTGCAGCATGTAAATCTCAAAAACGTTTAATAAATTTATTAATTTGATAGACAAAAATGTAAAAAAGTAACTGAGATATTTTTGCAGTTGTCTCACACCTACAGGCACTTTTTTCCATTTATTACTGTACGTATTAACCTAAATTCTCTTTAAATTTTGGTTTGTTTGAAATGACCTATTTTCACCGACATATCATCAATTAAAGTTTAGTTGATTCCAATATTTAATCAATTACGTTCTGTTGACAGCTATAATACGTCAATATTTATTTATTTTTTAATCGTGAGAGTTGAGGGGTCTCACGTTAATCAAACACCTCGATTCGTAAGAGATGAGGGGACCCACGTTAATCAAACACTTTGAGATTTAATGAAGCAACCATAATCATGAGAGATAAAGGGACGTACGTTAATTAAACACCTCGAATCATAAGAGATGAGGGGACTCACGTTAATCAAACACTCCGAATAATGACTCATGTTAATCAAACACTTGAATATTGAGAGATATGTCTCACGTTAATTAAGTACCCGTAATCGTGAGAGATGAAGGTACGTACGTTAATTAAACATCTCGAATCGTGAGAGATGAGGGCTCACGTTAATCAAATACTTGAATTTTGAGAAGAGAGATGTCTCACGTTAATTAAGTACCCGTAATCGTGGGAGATAAAGGTACGCACGTTAATTAAACACTTGGAATCGTGAGAGACGAGGGGACTCACGTTAATCAAACATTCCAAATAATTACTCACGTTAATCAACCACTTAAATTTTGAGAAGAGAGATGTCTCACGTTAATTAAGCACCCGTAATCATGGGAGATGACGTACCTTAATTAAACATCTCGAATCGTGAGAGATGAGGGGACTCGCGTTAATGAAACACTCTGAATAATGACTCACGTTAATCAAACACTTGAATTTTGAGAGGAGAGATGTCTCACGTTAAATAAGTACCCGTAATCGTGGGAGATGAAGGTACGTACGTTACTTAAACACTTCGAATCGTGAGAGATGTGGAGACTCACGTTAATCAAACACTCCAAATAATGAATTACGTTAATCAACTACTTGAATTTTGAGAAGAGAAATGTCTCACGATAATTAAGCACCCGTAATCGTGGGAGATGAAGGGACGTACGTTAATTAGACACTTCGAATAGTGAGAGATGGGGGACTCACGTTAATCAAACACTTGAATTTTGATAAGAAAGATGTCTCACGTTAATTAAGCAACCGTAATGATGAGATATAAAGGGACGTACGTTAATTAAACACCTCGAATCATGAGAGATGAGGGGACACACGTTAATCAAACACTCCGAATAATGACTCACGTTAATCAAACACTTGTCTTTTGAGAACAGAGATGTCTCACGTTAATTAAGCACCCGTAATCATGAGAGATAAAGGGACGTACGTTAATTAAACACTTTGAATCGTGAAACACTAAGGGACTCACGTAATCAAACACTCCGAATAATCACGGGAGAGGGGATTTGCGTTAATCTCACACTTGAATCGTGGGAGGCGAAGTACTTACACGTTAATCAAGCACAGGTGTATTAAGTTAAAAATCCTGAAATTTTAGAATATAAAAACAATCGAGCATCATCCTAATTTGTATAATAACTGTTTTTAGAGTTTGCTTTACAGTTTATAGGATATTATTAAATAAAGACATATTTTTATTGTAGCACAGAATTTAAAAGGGACAAATATTCGAAACTAGGCAAAGCCGGGGATTACTAAAGAGGGCTTTTATTGTCATTTTAAATTCGCGTTTCGGGATTCCCATCACGCGCCCCGTTTATTTCGCGGAGATTCGCCAGAGCCGATAAAGCATGTACTCGACGAGGAAACCCATATGGGTTGAGGCGGACACCGATCCCAATTTCACGCATCCGACTCTACAGCGGCGCAGTTGACACAACATTTACATAATCCAGAGAGAAAAACTTGACCTTTTATGACACGCAAGCGGACGATGATAGAAATTACGTCCGCCGTCCCACGCGCGTGAAAAAACCAAAAAATCGATACGAGAGCGAAAGCGGCCGAGAAAGTTGGCCGATACGGAGGTAAAAATTCGAAAAACTCCAGAGGGGAAAGTGACTAACTAATTTAAAGGGGTCCGCACACTACAATGAAACATTAAGGTGGCCACGCACGCTATAATTAAATAGAAGGCTGTACCGAAGTTTCTGGGGCGAATAAATAAATATTATATGGCGAAACTTGGACGGGAGGATGTCTCGTCGAAGATTTACGATTTAACTTAACGAAAATGAATAGATAGGTGCCCATAAATATTTATACGGAGACGAGGAGCCGCCTAAGTGGAATCGCTTAGCGGAGCCCGGGACAGATATTTATAGAAAGGGGCCTTAATTATTTTAGGGCCGAGCTACCCTCCGTGGGATTAATTTATGATCCGTGGATATATATCAATGTTCATTTGCAAATCAAGACACACGCCCCGCCGAGCCGGACGGGATTTTTTAATCAAGCGGGGAATTTACGAACCGGCACAAACAGTCAAAAAAAAAATTCGTTCGTATGTTTCGAATCAGTCCATTTGCACGCGGTCGTGTATAGTCCAGTTCCTGAAGCGTTTTGGCTACCAATTTTTTCGGATGGAATGGACTGACGTGAAATTTGAACTGTAGCTAGGGAATAGACCAAGAAACAAAAGTTATATAATGCCGATGTGTGCTTTTACCCTACGGGTGGATGCCAAACCTTCTGGGGGATGGGAATTTTTTTATTAAAAATAACCTCACGATTCGATAGAGGGGCGGAATCTAAGCAAATAATGTTATATAAGAATTTTTTGTACAGTCAATACTTTTTGAGTTAATTGCGCCTAAACATGTTCGTTTTTAGTCCAAAAAATGCATGGTTTTGAGTCATTTTTTCGCTAATATCTCAAAAACTACACGTTTTAATCAAAAAAATGGTCATAAGTAAAAAAGAAGGTAATTAAATAGCAAAGAGATTGCTTTTTTATTTTTGTAGGTGGTATAGAACCCGAGTTATGACTCCCAGAAGTTGAAGTCAATTTCGAAGATAGCTAGAGTCGAAACGTTCAACGTCCTGTAGCGGAAAAATTAAAGGTTTTTCGAGGAAAACTTATATAACATTTATTAAAGTTCTTGAAAATACCTTTAAATTGAGTGATGGTAAAAGTCGTTAGTATGAAAACTAATAAAGTCACAATCAAAATAAAATGATTGTCTTGATTTTTGAAAAAAAAATCGATATTAAAATTAATGACGACGGAAAAAAAATTAAACGTATTCCTTAAGCAATTTACTTTATTTATGTATTAACAGTAGATTCTGGGAATTTGAACGATTTTAGAAGCCTACATTTAAAAAAATATTTCAATTAGTTCTGAATAAAAATTTTCAATTTTTTAAAAGATTGCCTTTTTTCAAAATATTTCAAAAACTAACAAAGTTATAAAAAAATGATTGAATAAGAAATTGTAGATTTCTTACTGAACAATTTGCTTTGTTTTAAATTTTTCTAGGACAAAATTTGACTGTTATAACCGTTAGAAGCTCAAAACTAAGCTCCAAGAATGACTTTCCTAAGCCCTTTTAGCTTGCAAAACTAAAAAACGAAGAGCTCAAAAAAACTGAAAATCACAGAACTTAAAGTGCTTTAAATTCCCTACAAAATGTTTTTTTGAGTAAATTTATTACTTTAAAATTACAAAAGTTATGGTACAAAAATTAATCGCATTTTTTCGGTAAAATTTTCGGAGCGGGTAAATTACCATCATCTTTGTGTATTTTGGAGCACTCGTAAACTGATTTGATTAAGTATTTTAATAATATACATACACACACGTATCCATTTATAATGTATATAAACATTTTTTATTTGATATTAATTTAATAAAAAAATATTAAGAATAAATTCAATAAAATTAAAAAAAAATTAATTATATCATCATACTCGCATACAATTTTTAGGAAATTTTTCCATAAGGGGTAGGGTTTTTTATGAGGGGTAGGTCTTCCATAAGGGTTTTTTGGGTGGTTGAAAAGTTGAAATATTTCATAGATCATTTGAAAACCAATAAAAAGTTTATAATTCAACATATATACATACCATTAAAACATCTCAAGCTTTCAATAATATTTTTTTGTTTATTTTATTACAAGGGATGGTTTTTAAGGGTTGCAACTTTGTAATGAGTCGTAAGCTTTCTAATGAATAACAAAAGAAATGCTATACATTGTGGATGCACCAAAAGAATATTTTAAACTGTTAATTAAATTTCATAAATCATATTAAAAAACATAAATTGAATCTTTAAAATACGTAAATCTGTGATTTTTGGCATTTTTTTCGTACAAGAGTTGTTTTCACCCCCAAATGGAAAAAGCACACATCTAGACAATATAACTTTTGAAGTGGGAGGGGGGTCAGGTGAGCTTGTATGCAAATTTTCAGGAAAATCCATGCTATCCGAAAAAATTGGAAGCATTTTCTGTTCAGTGACTGGACTGGAAAAGCTTACTTTTTAACTAAAATATAGACGCCTAGAAAATTATCAAAATTTATGAACATAATTTATTTTTGACATATAGAGTACTAGATGTAGCACTTTGTTAATTATTAATTAATATATCTCGCCCATACTCACACCACGAGAACTGACAAGTTCTAAACCGGTATACGTCTGGTGGTCCTACTGACGAATTATTCTAGCTAGATACTAGATCTTGCTGACATAATCCAACGCTGATCGGGACAGTAGTCCGCAGAGTAGTTTCCCGCAATGTCATTATTTTAATCAGCTTGTCAAGACTACTATAGCAACAAAACAGTTACAGTTCCTCATAAAACATCCGTGTAATAAAAAATACGTATGTTTCAGATTCAACCGACGTCTCACGAACGCGCCTGCAAGCCGGCCCTCTGTCACGCCAACATCAACCATCACTGCCCGCGCACCCACCAATCCACGAATTCCCAGGGCGCCGTCGTCGCCTGCAAGACGATACCCGAGCTGTTTCAGAGGCTGTGCCCCCAGGCCATCACCGCCGAGGCCGACATCCCCCTGAACATGCTGGGTTGTAGGTCGAACACGTACCTCATCCTCATCGGATAACTAAGGAACGTTTACCTTCTTTTTTTTTTTAGACGTAGTTGGTCGAAAAGTATTACATCGGAGACATAATCTTAGTTACAGTTAAGGTGTAGAAAACGGCGAATTCAAGAGTCAATTTTTGCCCTACAATTGAAAAGTAGTAGTAAGAAAAGTGAAACGCAACAAATTTGCATTTTTTTGAAGCCTGGCAATCAATTTTGTAACCGCCGAAAAGCCGGAATTAAACTCCAAAGGCGTATGAACGTAATGGCAATGATTTAAATGCAAATTACATCGAACTGGCAGAAGAAACAGCAATTTCCAACGGCAACATACGCATCAAGATAAAAGTCTTGGAAAAGATTATAAATAACATTCATTTCGTTTACCTCTCCCATAAATCTCGTATCAAATATTTAACTGCAACGCATTTTAGCCCTGACGTCAAGAAAACCGTTCATATACAGGGTCGGAAAGTCTCCATGGTTCATCGGCCTTTACGTAAGAATGATAAAGTAAGTCATAGAAATCCGTGCGATAGAGAAGGATGGCTATAATGAAGGCGTCTCATAGTCACCGCTCGTTTCGCCCTTCCACAAATAAGATCCACTTCCACTTGTGATTCAGCGACCGGTGGTCATCTTTGTTTTCGTCGTTTGCCTTTTCTGTAATAGATGTCACTACTTATACAATTCCCACTTCGTATTCCGATATATTAATACCATCCGTTAACAGAGGGCAGCACAACGCGTAACAAAGAAAACATTTTACAGTAGCTAGTAGATACCTCTGTTTGTAAATCTAGTGACTTTGTTTCCCTTACTGATAAGTTATTCAAATGGAGTATAGTACTCAGCTGCATTTAAAGTTCATTTAGTTGTTATTTAAGTATACTTTTTAAATTGACTTAAAAATTCCAAGAAATAAAGCAAAATTCCTTATTTCTAGGGCTGCGCCTCACCTTAGACAAATTGTGCTGCCCTCTGTTAACGGATTGTATTAACATATCGGAATACAAAGTCGGAATTGTTAAGTAGTGACATCTATTACAGAAAAGGTAAACGACGAAAACAAAGATGACCACCGGTCGCTGAATTACAAGTGGAAGTGGATCTTATTTGTGGAAGGGCGAAACGGGCGGTGACTATGAGACGCCTTCATTATAGCCATCCTTCTCTATCGCACGGATTTCTATGACTTACTTTATCGCTCTCAGTAACGGCCGATGAACCATGGGGACTTTCCGACCCTGTATACCAGGGGGAACGTGCATATATTCATTTAAAAGTCTAGAAATAGTCGCACTAAATGACGTCACAATGCGTTCTTGACTTAGCCCGTTCTAAACGAAATTAAATTTCCGAGCAAGTTGCCTATTACGGATAATTTTGCATCTCTTTACATGATTGTACGTATACAGTCCCTATTTATTTATTACATTTAACTATCAACAGAAAACAACTTAGAATAAGTAGTATTACATTGTATACAGTATTTTTTGTATTTTGTTAAAGTACGGCATATGTGTATTAAATGCAAGCAGCATGTCCTTCTTGGTTTTATTTATCGATTTAAGCACTGGTTAAAGTTAACAGTTAAAAAGTCGATTTGCGGTGTAATAAAGTTGATATTTCTACGACTTCCTACCACCGCGTCAACCCAAATACAACGGGAAGATGATACCGCATTGATTTCTACCTGTTGCGGTTCTTAAGCGATTGTGTAAAGATATATTAAACCGGCAAAGCCGAAACATTAAATTGGAATACATTTAACGATTCCGGCGCTCGATATAATGGGAATAAAAACGAGTTACAGACTTAATTGATGTTCTAAAAGGTCGGGACCATCGCTGTGAAAGCGACTGAAGATATTTCCGTGTATTTGCCTGAAAAAATTAGAATCGGCAACGTCGTATAATTGGCATTACGGTAGAATTCCACGAGTACGTTGAGAACTGTACAGGCAGTTTATAGGAGGACATAAACTAAGAACTAAGCGTAGAAGTTAAAATTTAATTTCAGCAATAAAATAAAACAATTGTGTCGTATACAATTTAATTTATATCTGAAATGAAGACGGTTTAGACACAGTGACCATCAATGACGATAGCGACCTAATAAACAATATTAGTTGTTTGAAAAAGTAGTGTCAGAATCATAATGATGTGCAAATATTTTAAGGAGGTGCTTAGAAAGTAATTTTAGGGGGTTGAATGAAAGAAATTGGCACCCTTTGGTTTTATTTCTCTCACAACTTTTTTCTACGTTTGCCAATTCCAACAAGAAAAATAGCTTTTAATACTACATTTCATTTTTTTACTCTTCTCATTTTTTCGTATACCTACTTTCGTTTACAAGCAAACAAATCAATTGTTTTTCCTTGACGATTAGGTACACATAAATTAGTATAACAGTTACCAAAAACGATCGTCGAAAAATCTTTTTTATCAATAGGAAAAGCTAAGCAAATATGAATTAAAAATTTAATAAAAAAAATAAAAGCTAATTTTTTCGGCCATTTTGAGATTTGAATATTATAACTTTATAAATGAACGATAGCTTCATTTATTTATTTATTTATTTATTTATGAAATTTTAATTAATATTTCGTTTAACAATAATTTTTGTGACATTTTTGTAAATTAAAAAAAAAAATGAATTATAAAAGATGCATTTTTTCTGGGGTTCAGGGCTATTCTACGAATTCGTAAATATGCCCATTGTTATTTTACCCCAGTTTTTTAAAAAAATAAGTTTCTACGATGAATTGAAGCCGAGATATATAATTTGTTACCATCTTCAACAGAACCAACGGAACCTGCCAATAATACAACGTGCGCAGTAAACTGAAACAGTTACAGCAGCAGCTTCATTGAATACCCAGGACTAAAATCTAGGATAACTGACAGCACTGCATCTGGCATAAATTTAACTCACTGCGATATCGGCACTACCAATTTACATGTAGTGCAAAAAAAATTGTAATCGTCCTGTTTATAATTGTTACTGTTTTGTACTGAAATGTTATATTACTTAAAATATATTGTTTAATAAAATCATTCGAAAAAAAATGACAAATTATTTTGACATTTATTTGATGTTCCAGACGAAAACATAAAAATTAACACCAGTTTTCATAGTAAAAACATAATTTCTACCTACAGAAATGAAATATTAATTTAAAAAATAGATTGTTTTAAATAAAACATTCCTCGCTAGCACAGAAAAATTACACAGCCACACACTAGCCACACACTTGAGCTAGAACGTGTGTTTTTTTTTCTAACCTCAAAAAACCGAGCAGGAATCGCTATTTTCAAATTCTGAGCGGATTTTGACCAGATTTTGTATAAAGGGGTTTTTTGGGTCGCTGATTACGAATATGAATTCACATTGTAAAAATTCAAGATGGCTGATCCAATATGGCGGGTGTACTTTTTTGAAATCCACCGATTTCAGTAAAATTTGGCATCATAAGGATTGCTGGTTGATCTCACCTTCATTAATCACACATCTGGAGCCAGATTTTCATAAATCAAGGTAAAAGATTCCACTCCGTCTAAAAATGTGACTTCGCTTAAAAAAATGACTTAAGGACTCTACACATGTAATGATGTGTAGTGTGATGTGCTTGTTTCCATGGGACAAGACAAAAAAGTTTCTACTTTATTCTTTCATTTATTTAGTCGTGCATGGGCTTATGGTTTTCCAATCAGATTTTTTTAACTACTATGCAGTTTTCCTATGGCATTTAGATGCTTTTATTTCTTAATAATTTTAAAGTTCAAGGAAAAGGACACATTACTGCCACACAGCACATCACTGCATCTGCTTATGCCTTCAATCTAAAAATGTGACTTTGCCGAAAAAATGCCGCCTACTCGGCCTAAAATTATGACTCTGCCTACATATTTTACCTTGATTTATGAAAATCTGGCTCCAGATGTGTGATTAATGAAGGTGAGATCAACCAGCAATCCTTATGATGCCAAATTTTACTGAAATCGGTGGATTTCAAAAAAGTACACCCGCCATATTGGATCAGCCATCTTGAATTTTTACAATGTGAATTCATATTCGTAATCAGCGACCCAAAAAACCCCTTTATACAAAATCTGGTCAAAATCCGCTCAGAATTTGAAAATAGCGATTCCTGCTCGGTTTTTTGAGGTTAGAAAAAAAACCACACGTTCTAGCTCAATTCTGACAGTGGATTTGAATTCAGCAGAGTCTTTTACATAAAAATGTACTATTTGATGTGGAAATAAATTTTTTTCCAAATTTTCCCAGTAAATTTTCATCAATTTTCAATATTTTTCACAAGTTTTTGAGGTTAGGAAAAAATTGTGACGTGATGGGCCAATTCTGACCCCAGATTCGTGTTCAAGAGACCAAATTACTACAAAAAATATATGTCGCATAAAAAGTATACCCAACTTTTTTTTGTGTGTGTGGCTGTGTTATTTTCAAAGCGATCGACTGACTAGTCGACTTCATGTTTGCCGGAAACAGTAACCATAGAAATTTTGAATTTCGATGACCATAACCAACATCCCGGAAATAATAATGCTGAAAACCAATAGATAGCACATTTTCAAACATTCCATACTGTTGTGAGGTGCTTTTGCAGTTTTCCATACTCAACTCAAATCTTGTATAATGTATAACCTTTTTTTTTGTACTGAATAATGCATATTGTAACGCTTTGGAGTTGAGCTGTAGAGTCGAGGCAGGTGCCGATTTGTTATTTTCACGGACGGTGCTTCTCTTTTAAGTTGAATTAAAATTTTTAATGACCTACGGCGTATGCAGGTAAACTTTAGCGGTTTACACGCATAGTGAAAGGTAGATATTTATTAAATTCGCATTTCATGATTTCGATCCTCAAACTAACTTATTTTTTTGTCCCATCCCTAACAAACTCAGACCCAGACTTGAACGTGGTGACAGAAACAAAGTAATTACTCACACTCACAACAATGCCATCGCCCACCGATTCCAGTTGCTACTCGATATAAATAAGTTGGCGACTGACGCCTTAATTGCCGTCGCGGTTTCGTCACGATTTCTCGCGAATCTCACCTGGAAATTTTATGACGAAACGCCGCGCTCTGGGAGCGCTGCGACTCTTTCGGTCCGGCGGATTCTGTTTATAATGATTCCAGCTCGACGACGGGAGCAAGCAGGCGTGGAACGTTTCGTCAGTCGTTTCGAAAATTTTCGCAAGGACATGGGCAAATCCTCGCACAGAAAAACAATCTGTGGCCGACCGCGACCAAGCTATTTGTAATAAATGAAACGGATTCACATTCACACCGAAAAATTTGAATAACTCGTCTATGGTCCAATTAAATGGGCATTTAAGGAGGTATATCGGGTTTACTCAAATGCACAGATGTACTTGAAACTTATATAGCGTATTACCCAGTGCTCCCTATGTGCGTCATATTTTTTTGAAATTTTGAAAAAAAAATTCCATACATAGTACACAGTATTATATTATTTTTGATGTAAAACTAATGTAAGTTTTGAACATAGTACAACTGTATTAATTAGAAACAGAATCCAATAATTGCATTTCTGGCCGACTTGAAATTAATGTGACAACGTCGCAATCAGCTGACAGCAAGGAGGGAATACATTTGAAAGACTTGATAAAAACGAAATTGATTTCAAACATATACATTTTTCCTAAATCCCATGTACATTGTTATCAACAATAAATTATCCACAACAGATGATTTTTTGTAATGTTTTTAAAAAACTAGATTAATTAAAAAAGACTAGGAAGCTGTGATATATTTATTGGAATAAAAAATACAGTTGATAAATCCTTTTAATATATTTAATGGTTTATAAAAACATCGTAATCATTACCCAGCAATATTTAGGGTTACATAAAGTTTTCTTTACTTGATTAATATAATTAGTAATACTTGAGATAAAAGCATTTGTACGGAATAACAAAGGAACATAAATATTTCTCAGCAAACTTTATATCTAAAAAATTAGTTATAGTTGCAAAACTTTTGTAACATTACTAAAATAGAGATTAAAAACACGAACAGTGAGTAATAATGTAATTTCTATCACAGAACCTTCAAAATTGCATCCAACATTTTCTTTGACTTGGACGAGAGATGGGCGCGAGTGTCATTTCATTTCTTTAGAACTAAATTAACATAATTCTCGTTGTTTTACCAGTTCACATGATTTACGGATTTTAAATAAAGGATACAAATCTTCGCGAGGATAATACGATATATTTGCTATATATAATAATTATATTGTACATAGTTTACACATAATACATTTTTGAACGCGTACGCATCTTTACCCAAATTTGACGCGCAATATCTCCGATGTCCGAGGTCTGTAGGTTCGCAGTGTGTACAACTGCTAGTCAATTATTAGCGCTGTTGCCACATCTACATAGTCTTTATGCGTTTATTAAATATAATTTAAAACTACTTAAATATGATATTTTTATGTTGTTAATTAGCAAAAAGGAACCAAAGGGCAAAATGACTAGATTTCTTTGCTATATAGATAATGTTTATCGCAAATAATTTCAAAAGAATTAATTTTTTTCAAATTGGCAGCGGGCTTTAGTCCCATAAGAAAAGCATAGGACTCCCCCTGCGCTCCTCACTTCCCTCGGACCCCGATATACCTCTTTAAATCGCAATTTTGGTTAGGTTGCCTGAATTTTTGATATGTATAAGTTAATTTGAAGTACTTAATAACAATAAGTGAACGTATTTTTTTTTGCAAAAAGATAAAATAAAGGGGGTTTTCAAGATAACTCAAAAGGGGTAAGAGCTAGAGAAAAATAATCTTATAAAAACTGTAGAACATAAAATTCTACATAAAAATGATCTCTTAACTTTTCCTGTACTATTAAAATTAACAGAGTTAGGGTGGCTAGAAGTTAAGGGATGATTTCAAATATATTAAAAAATTATAACAAGCAGAAAAATGAATGAATTTTATAAATATATTTTTTTCAATGTACTCTAAAAAATATAAACTTTCTTTTCAGAGAAATAGATATATTTTTTAATTTTTAAAAAAATTTCTGAAATCATCCCTTAATTTCTAGCCACCCTAACTCTGTTAGTTTTAATAATACGAGAAAAAGTCAATGGACCATTTTTATGTAGAATTTTATGCTCTACTTATTTTTTTCTAGCAGTTACCCCTTTTGAGTTATCTAGAAAAACCCCTTTATTTTATCTTTTTTCACCCCTGCTCGAGGGTTGAAAAAAAAATTACTGTCACCTATTGTTATTATATACCTTAAACTATCGTATATCAAAAATTCAGGCAAATTGAAAAAATTGCGATTTAAAGACCCATTTAATTGGACTATAAGTTTGTGAAATCTGGAGGTGCAAGATACAACAACAGCAGGTAGCAGTGTATGGACTACTTTCCCAGATATTATATCAAAGAAAAAGGCAAATGTTATATTAAAAATGTCTGTTTTTTTAACACTTTACCTCTGCGAAATAAAAAATATAGAGGCACACTATTACGCCAGAAAGATTCCACCTACGTTTAAAAATATTAAAATTTCCGCAACTTTTCTTGCTGGTTTTCTTTTTTTTCAACTGTCCGACAGTAAATCGTACAATCCAGGTCCGTACTTTGTTTTTATATGACATGAAAATAAATATATTCGCACAAAGTTAATTCTGTACCCAACAACGACAGGCTACTAATCGAGCATTTAAAAAAAGTAAGCTTGTTCGTGGACCATCTAAAATCAGAATTCATGTTGCTGTTTTAACATCAGAGCACAATTTCGAAGGTTGATATCTAATCAGAAGGTACGTCAAATCCAAGGTCACCATCTACTGTGTCATTCAAAAATCTTACAAATTTTGCTTGAAACATTTTTACCAGAAAAAAAATAGTGCGACTTTCATCTGTCCTATAAGGACATACCGGAAACATTTTTGGACCCCATATTCCTACGTAAAATTTGACAGTATCGAATGCTAGCATAAAAAATAGGGTGATCCATACAAATTGACATTAGTTTTACCTTGAAACTTAAAGTCAAGCATTCATCCGAAGCTCTTTGAACCGGGTCTTTTTGGGACACTCTATATATGTACTTACATATATACCAATAACAGTATTTGTTCAATGACTATGCAACAAACTGCACCGCAAAAAAAATTGTAGTCGCAAAGTTCAAAGACAAAGTCCCGTTTGTTATTCAATGCAACTACCAACAGAGCAATAAGTGAGTAGCACAATACACAATGGGTGAAAAAGAACAAAAATTCGCTTACATTTCACCTGATTCACTCGACAAACATTTGTCGTACGGGTCAAAACACTCGGAAATCCCTAAACTAATACCGAGGAACTATTTAACCCATCTTAGTCACGCCAACGATTTCTGTTCATGAATATGCACAAGCAGAAGCTACATATGATTCAATTTAACCGCAACAAAAACATAAAAACGTGCATATACTGCCAAAAAAGCACATTCGTTTCTTCAATATTAATTTTACCGTTGTTACAAATAAACCTGTCAAATACCACGGCTGTTACAATGTCACCAGGTACTCTAACCTCAAAAAAATTGAAAAAAGTACTCACATGTGCTTGTGGCAGACTGTACACACCCAGTCCGTGGTCCTAAACGAGTATTCCCTGCACCCCTTGCACACCTTCAGCCTGCAGGCCCTACAGTAGGCGCCCCTATTGATCACCCTCCCCAATTCGACCCTGCATCGCCCGCAGGAGCGATCCGGGTCCGGCCCTGCGCTGTCCCAGTCCGCCGACGGCTTCAGCGCTCCCTTGCGCCTCAGGTTCTGCAGCTCCGCCTTCAGATGCCTGGAAAAATGAGAGAGCACGTCATGAAGGGCTGGCGTATACGAGGGTGAGTCGGATACAAGTCTATTATATACGGGGGTGGGTCAAATAGATATTAATACGATTAAATTTAAAAGTCCACTTAAAAATTGAGTAATTTTTCGAAAGAGACGTAATATTATGTTTGAACTTTTGACATTTAAGTTAATTTTATCATCGAGAACATTCAAATATTTTAATTTTTCACCCAAATAAATAAGTTCCGCCACTTCAAAGGCTTCTCCGGATGCTTTTTTCTCTCTTTTTTTTAAACAATTGTGTCACGACTTTCGTACTGAAAAACTTGCCACTGAAGAAGAAATAAAATTAAGCGAAGTTCGATTCTCAATATAAAATGGAATTATAAGAATCTGTACATCGGCCAAAGCGAAAAAAAAAACAATTATTGGATTCGGAGTATCCAAACTTAACGGCCCTGCGAACGGCGATAAAAGAGAGTGGCAAAATCTGGTAATAAAAATTCAAACTTAATTACAGTCTGGCAGAGAGAGAGAGAGAGGGAGAGTTGGTATTAATGCCCCCAAAATGCCGAAATCGATGTTAATAATTCACGACCTGGAAGGGGTTTGTAGCAAGCCCATTATCTTGGATAAATCCAAAACGAATCTTTTAGCGTTAAGCTATCTTTATTGCATCATATTTTATCCGTCTTCTGTCTCCAACTTCTTCCGTCTCGATTGGGGATGTCGCGCTGAAAAATTCTCACCTAACGTCTTGTGTAATCAACGCTGAAAGAGATAATTTCTCCAAAATGCCCCGTAACAGGAGAAAGAGTGGAACTGTAGACTTACTGAAATTTGTTGGAAGAGCAATTTTTGAAAAATAATATCTAATAATAATAACAGATATAGATCTAATGGACTAAAAATATAATAAAGGTTGGGACACCCTGGGCAAGCAGTACTGCTTTTCATAGAAAACACAGGTTTTTAACTAAAAATTAAGTTTTTAATTATTCCATAAAGTGTACAGTATATACAGGGTGATTCAAAATTCAGTACAAAGAATTTAGAGGCATATTTTTAAGTTCAAAATAAGACTGTTTTTCCTATAAACGTGGGTCCACAGATACTTAATTTTCGATATACAGGATGTTAAAGTTTTTCATTTTTTTTTATTTTATAGGAACAACATCCAAATAAATTGGGGTACGGGGTTTTTCTAGGATGTTAAATTTAAATATGTCATTGGTTTTGATGCCACCTATAATGGTAAGCTTGAATTAAATTGGCCCTAAGTTTTTTGCTACGCTGTATATTGACGTTTCGTATTAATGCGTTTATTCCCCTATCAATTTTAAGCAAAAAATGTATACTTGGTCGAAATCTCTCAGGCCAACCGTTTCCGAGAAATTGGCTGATAAAGAGTTAAATGCACACCATATTTTCAAATTTTATTAATTTATTATTTACAGTGAAAAATTTTAAAATTTATTCACCATCTAATCTAATCTGATCTAATCTAATCTAATTTTAGCTCTTAACATTTTTTGATATAGCTAACCGTTTTCGAGAAAATCACTGCTGACTAATCACACTAGTAATAACGTACTGTGGCCTTTAGAAAGTGTTTTAATAAAAAAATCATCAAACCAGTGGCGGCTAGTCGTATGAAGCAACTAAGGCAGTTCGCGGTTAATGTACGCATCGTATAGTACGCGGGTAGTGTCTGATGTCAGTGTGAGGGATAGCACAAAGTCTTTAAGGATAAGGACAAGGCAGGTACTAATTTAAAGTAAATAAAAAATAACTTCCTTACAACAAAACAAATTAAGACTAAATTTAACATAATTTACTAGATACTTATTATATTATCAAATACCTTACATAAGTAGCTAATAATGAATCTATCTCACAATATTGTTTCATCTCTTGGAACACCTGTTTCAAGACGTAATGACGTAAACTATTGCTCTAAACAAATTAAAATCGATAGTCAAATAATTTTTTTTGAATGAAGAAACGAAGAAAAATTTAAAAATAGTTTTAATTATGCGAGAAATATTACAGGACTACCAAGCAAATGGGGCAAAAGTTGCGACGAATTAGAAATATATTTGATAAAAATTCCACTTTACTTTGTTACGGAAGTTTCAAGTCTATTTTCCCAAACAGATTTTTCGTCACGCATGTTTTTAGACAAAAACAGAAAAAGTCACCAGAACATACGTCGTTTCAGAACTTTCCAGACGCGTATAACGCTTTTCTGTAACGCCCGTAATAAATTCACACCCAAAACTGATAGCAGAACACCCCCCAACCCCCAGACATTTGTATCACTTTATACCCCATCGAGTTTTAAGTGCTGTATCAACTTTGCGCGGCGTAATCGTCCGAAATCAATCTACCATTTCGCTCCGGCGGTAAATTTATGAGAAATGGAGTACGGTGGATCTGACATCTTTATGCCAACCGTGGAGCATAACTTGTATAAATGATGGGGATCGGCCGCGACTCAAATTAATTCTAACGCTACCTCGATATCAATTTATGCCTGCGTAAACGTACAGATTTGTAATAAATCACCCCGGGAGTTTTGAGAGGAGAACGGATTGCTGTAATTCGAACAGGGCGAGACGGGATCGGACAAATAGAAGGGGATTAGTCTCAATAAAAGTCCGGTTTATTAACAAACAAATCGCTAAATTGATGAGTGGGTAAAGGGGGATCAAAACCCTTAATAGTTATTTATGGTTATTAGGATCATTATGGTAATAGCAGTGAGCAAAAAAAAATAAATCTTCTTTGGAACAGGCTGTTCAATGTTAAGACAGGTTTCAATTAATGAAACGTCGATATTATCGATATCAAACGAGTCATCAATCCTAGACGTCCACAAAAGGAATGTGAAAAACGGGAGGCAGATTAACAAATAGCATAATTGCCTTAAAATATTTAGGATCGAACGAGCAGTTACTGCAAATGGAATTATTTGCCGTAAATGTTATTTTATTCTATTCAATTGTTATATGTTTTCGTCAAACTATGTGAAATATTTGCTGTAATCTATAATTTTTCTTGGAATTTATATTATTTGTAAATATATATAATTTAATTCCAATCTTTTATAATTTTGAAATTTATTATCTCGAACTTCAGCTACAATATGTCTTACTGTTTATTCATACACTGCAAACATATTTGTTTCAAAACTACCAGTTCCTTAAAATATATGTATATATTTAAAATTTAGTATTAATGTAGGAATTATTCAAGACAAATATAGCATATTATAATCAAACTTATGTTTTCTTGAAAGAAAATTGTAGCAGTAGTTGTAGGAGCCACTTACGTTCTGTGTATACACATCTTGTGAGTAACGACACTAAAGCAGCTGGATCGTTGTAAAGGCGCCGTTCTTGGTGGTGAAAATTCGAAATATTTGAAATTATTCAAATTTCGTGGCTGAAAACATATTGTTCCCTGTAGATTTTGCCAACGATCATCTATTTGCAATCGACTTTTTTGTATCAAGTACCGGGATACCCTGTATAAGATGTCTCGAAGCACTTTTAAGATATAAAAATATGATTACGTATTACGTATTCCTCTCTTCTGTTATTTTTTTATGTGCCAGAAAATATCAGGAAATAATTCAAGACCACCCTGTAGAAAAATCGCTACCGAAGAAATAACCATTTTCTGGAATTCCAAAATCTAACAAGACTCCCTTTGGCCTTCACAATTATCTACATTCATTTCATACCCCAACTGTTCTTAACTAAGTTCGGGGATGTTATATCCAGTTCCTCCCCTTCCCACCCCATCACTTTGATAAATGGCCAGCTCAGGTGCAACATCTTAACGAACGTAGGAATTAGCTAAGAGGATTCCTCCAGAACCGGATTCTGTCCCAAGCAGACATGTTATTTATACAGAAAAACAAAAGAAACAAGGAATCTTTTGTGTACACTGAACCGTAAATATGTTTTTTAAATTTTATCATACGTTTTTTAAATGGTGCTGTTTTTGATGAAAATATTAGGATTAGGAATTTGACATTTCTATTGGGTATGTCAAATTGTATATTTTGTACGACCGAAAATTATAGAAGTAACGAAAAGTAAAAAAAAACGTAAAAATCACTTTCAATATTTATTTTGCTGTTTAAGGAGGTTTATCGGTGGTGGTGGTACGGAGATACGTCTAAAGTCTAACGAAAGTTTCTGTAGATTCGCTAATGACTAAAGTAGTACTAAGTACTGTTTGTTTGGACACCTGCGAATTTCAAATAATACGCTACTTCGAGACCGCGGCGTTGCCGCTATCATGCATATGGAGGATAAGTTAGTCAACGACAGCAGTTTGAAGGAGAATTATTAGAAATTATGTATCTTACAAGTACCTAATCGATTTCTACAAGCTGTCATATGGTTCCTTAGATATCGGTTTCCTATTTATACAAGTTGCTGTGGAAACTGTTTGTCAATTGTTGCGCATTCTAAGTGGAAAGACCAAAAAAATGTGCATTCTCATAAGACTCTGTACCAAATCGTGAAAAAGTATTTTATTAATATCTCGTCTCTTGGGTATCCAAACTAGTCATAACTCTTTTTAGAATTTTCTTCATACTATTAAGCTTATATTAATTTTTTTATGAATATTTATATGAAAGCTCCTTAAACGTTTTTCATGTTCTTGCTTTCAACTTCAATTAAATCGAACCGCAAGCCCTTTAATTTGATATCTGGATATTAAAGCGGCACTGAATTAGAGTAAAACTTATTAAAAGATCAGGAAATACTAAAGTTGAAATCGTAATAATTAAGTGGAAATGCAAAGCAGGATTAAATACTAAATCGGATTTACTGGTTTATTTTTTACTGGAATCTCTAGAATGTTTTCAGAAATAGAGTATCTAAATTGCGACGAAACATTTCAGTTCAGCAAATGTTTATATACAGGGTGGGAATTTATTTAGTTCAAGACTCACTCGATTACCTCAGTATTCTTCAGTTGTAA